AATTCATAAGATTAATATATATATATATATTCTAAACTTCTGTCATTATATTAATGGTTATATAGAGTACTAACTAATTCTAGAAAAAAGGGTTCATCTAGCTTCCTGTACATGATTTTGGGTTTGAGTCTCCATTAGTTTTCTGCAGTGAACCAGGACCATACCTAACAGTGACTTTGAAGTCTCCAAAAAGATGATGGGACCCCACAATGATGATTCCATCAGAACTATGATCATGCCACCAAACTAACAAACACTATCCAAAGATCGGCTTTGGACTACAAACTGCACAGGACAATATTGAGATGGCTAGCTGAGATGATACAGCCTCACAGACTACTCTAATCAGGACTTGACCATAATCCTAAATTTTCTTTGTGTCCCCATAAGATTGTCAGCACCCCCAATCAGCAGGAAGTAGCCTAGAAACCTATACCCACATTCCCCCCAAAAATGGCTTATGGATGTTTGTCTTTGTTTAGGGGTTGGTTAAAAATTGTTATTGGTCATCGTCAATCTCTTTCTAAAAGAAGAAAGGGAGATATGATATAGAAATGTATTATGTAGAAATGATAGGACAAGAGGGTAGATTATTAAGTCTACTCTGAAAAGAAAAAGGGGAGGATACAGATATAATAATATAAAAAGGTAGATTATTGAATCTACTTTTACAAAGCAATTACTAGTTTTAAATATTTTACATTGGATTGGATTTTTGTATATTGTATAAAAATTATGTATATTGATACAAATTTAAGATTTTTTTTTTAGAAAATACTGTACATATATTTCTAATCTTGTTCAAAGGTATGTATCTATACAGCTCATATAACAATGTAATGCAAATTACTAGTCCTTGAAAGTTATTATTACCAACTAGTTAGGATATTAAGAAATGAAAGTTAGTAGCTAGTCATTACAATCAAACTTGTAGTCATGTTAGGTATGTTTTCAAGGTCAAACAGATATATTTTAGATAGACAGATGATCTTCAGAAACTTCAGAGATCTGTAGAATATGGCATTTAAGATGTTTTAATAACATAGATTCTTTTCTTATGACAATGAGACATGTCTGTTCCTGGCAGCACCAATCTACTTCAGAGAAGATGTTGGGCATCAAAGAAACTCCATATGTGGCAAAAGTTAGTCACTGGGCAAGAAAATGCCCTTGCCTCAACTGCTGACAGTATGTTTGTCCAAATGGGACAAATAGGGCACACACACACAAAAAGGACTGCCAAACCTTACCAAGACAAAGTAGGAAGGCTCTTTAGAAAATTTTGCTTCACAAGCTGAGTCTGTCAGATATGCTAGGCTTGTAGGCTGAAGATGGATGCTCCATTGTTTCAGAGGAACCCTGGGTGACTGTCCAGCTGTTTCTATCATTTCTCACATTTTTTGGAAGTTGCCTGTTTGCACCTCCTGTTTACTCAGGTAATATTTTTTCCTTCTAGGATCTCTGAGGGAATTGAAGATTAGATAGTTATAGTTTTTCTTATTAACAAATTCAGAAAAGAAACTCACTAAAGAGGTGTAAAGTCTATAAGTTTGAAAGATATCAAAGGATAGTTTTGAGTTGGTAATACAAGTTAGGATAGAAAGTGAATTAGGGGGCTGGAGAGATGGCTCAGAGGTTAAGAGCACTTACTGCACTTCCTTAGGTCCTGAGTTCAATTCCCAGCAACCACATGGTGGCTCACAACCATCTGTAATGAGATCTGGTGCCCGCTTCTGTATACATAATAAATAAATAAATTAAAAAAAAAAAGAAAGTGAATTAGGTACAACATTTTGGACCTAATTCACCAAAATAGGATGAATAATGGAATATTTTACCTGAATCTGTCAAATGTTAATGGACTGGACATTGCTAATGTAATTCTTGACTGTTTATATTATATATACTTATTGTATATAGTTTTTCTATTAGTTATAACCTTTTATTATTTTAGACAAAAAAGGGGAAATGTGATGACATATTTTGTACCCCAATAAATTTGCCTGAAGATCAGAGAACAGAACAAACCACTAGATTAGACATAGATGCCAGGCAGTGGTGGCACACACCTTTAATCCTAGCACTTGGGAGGCAGAGATCCGTCTGGATGTCTGTGAGTTCAAAGCCACCCTGGATTACATGAGGTTGACTCAGTCTAGGAGAGAAACAGAGCCAGACAGTGGTGGCACACACCTTCAATCCCATTAGTTGGGAGCCACATGCCTTTAATCCCAGCACTAGCAAAGTTGAGACAGGAAATGATATGGGTGGGTGGGGAAAGGAATATAAGGCGTGAGGAGACAGGGACTAAAGTCTTTTGGCTGAGGAAAGCTTTTCAGACTGAGGAGTCCTGGAGGTAAGACATGGCTTGTTCCTTTGTCTCTCTGATCTTTCAGCATTTACCCCAATATCAGGCTCTGGGTTTTTTATAAAAAGACCATATAGTAGTTCATTGCATGGTCTTTTAATAAAAATCTCAAGCCAGATATTAGGGTAAATGCTGAAAGATCAGAGAGACAAAGGAACAAGTCGCAGCCACATCTTACCTCGTCAACTCCACGAATCCTCAGACTGAATGTCTCTGAGTCCTCAGCCAAAAGGGGCCAGCTGAAAAAGCCTTTAGTTCCTGTCTCCTCACACCTTATATACACCTTTCTCTACCCAGCCATCACTTCCTTCCTAGTGCTGGGATTAATGGCGTGTGTGTGTGTGTGTGTGTGTGTGTGTGTGTGTGTGTGTGTGTGCTTTCCAAATACTGGGATTAAAGGCATGAGATCTCAAGTGCTGGGATTAAAGGTGTGTGGTTCCCAAACACTGGGATTAAAGGTGTGTGCCACCACTGCCTGGCTCTGTTTCTCTCCTAGACTGAGTCAGTCTCATGTAATCCAGTGTGGCCATGAACTCACAGAGATCCAGACAGATCCCTGCCTCCTGAGTGCTAGGATTAAAGGTGTGTGCCATCACTGCCTGGCCTCTAGGTTTAATCAGTGGTTTGTTCTGTTCTCTGATCTTCAGGCAAATTTATTAGGGTACACAATATATCACCACAGATATGCTCGGAGGATTTACTGTAAGCGTGATCAAAAGACACAGGACTTAGGCTGAAAAGCAGCCCTTAGAGCAGAGGTCTGGAGTGTAGGTATTGCTGCCCTTCTGGCCCCGCATCTCTGCCTGAGCATGAAGACAGCCCTTCCCAGACCCCTGCTCTTGAGAATGTGTGTGCTCCATACTTCCCGCTCTGGGCCCTCCCCTCCCCCCGCCGAGGCTTCACTGCTCAGGGTTCACTCTTCACTGCTCAGGGTTCACTTGTGTCCCCTGCTCTGCCCCATACTTTTCTGGCCATACTGCTAAGTGTGGTAATGTCTCGACTCTGCTACTGTTTATTGAGTTGGCTCAGTGTCGGGTGTGTTGGCTTCTCAGATCTGTTCTTTTTTTTCCTTTTTTTTTTCTTTTTTTTTTTTTAAGATTTATTTATTTATTTATTATGTATACAGTGTTCTGCCTACATGCATGCTTGCAGGCCAGAAGAGGGCGCCAAATCTCATTTCAGATGGTTGTGAGCCACCATGTGGTTGCTGGGAATTGAACTCAGGACCTCTGGAAGAACAGCCAGTGCTCTTAACCTCTGAGCCATCTCTCCAGCCCCTCCTTTTTTGTTTTTTGAGACAGGGTTTCTCTGTCCTGGAACTTGCTCACAGAGATCCGCCTGCCTCTGTCTCCCAAATGCTGGGATTAAAGGCATGTACCATCACTCTCTGGCTCAGATCTGCTCTTAAAGATTCCTAGCCCTGCTGACACCCCAGCTTTAGAGGTAGCTTGGACTTGGAGCCTCAGAACTGTGAAAGAATGAGTCGTGTCTGTCTTTTTCCTCCCTGCCTTTCTGGTGCGGGAGTTTGAACCTACGAACTTATGCGTGCTCTGACACTGAGGTACAGCCCAGCCTGAACCTTTATCAGTTGGCTGTACATGCAGAGGGGCCCAAATGGAAGGTCTCCTGTAGATTACCTCCAGAGCACTCCTGGAAACCAACCAGGTGGTGAATGATGTGAAGCTTCTATGCAAATGGAAACAGTCTTGCCTGGCCGCCAGAGAAGAACACCTTGAAAGATCCTGTAAGGCGCGAACAGAAGTTGATGGATAGCTTAGGTTCCCAGGCAGCAGGGGTCAAACACACCCACCCCCTATGTGCTTCATTTCCTAGTTCTGACCGCTCTGTGGGATCTCAGAAGAGATCCCTGTTCTCAGAAGAACACGTGGGTGCTGCTGGGGCAGCAGGGCCTCCAGCGGAGCCTCAGGTGCGCAGGGAATCCAGGCAGCCCCACACCTGTGCTAGTGGCCAGGCCCTGGGTGCTGCCTTTGTTTTGATGGTTTCAAGCCTGCTCCCCTCTGGAGCACCAGTCTGCGTCCATCCCCTGGAAAACAGACCCTGGTCTGTGGGGCACCCGTGACCCTTCGGAGGCAGGCAATAGTCCCAGGAACGATGCTTTGGCTCTAAGCTTTGTTCAATGGTAGTTTTCATGCACGCAAGCTCTTCGGCACCTCTTTCTGGCCTGTAAAGGCTGCCCAGCTGTGGGGAGACCTGGGCGCTGAGCCGGGAGCCTCCTCCTTGTCGCAGGAGGGCACCCGTAGCCGTGAGGGGGCCGCCACCTAGTGGTCACCACGAGCATCACCACAGTCTCGGCTGGAAGCATCGCTGAGTGGAGCGGTCCCGAGAGAACCCCCATCCACAAGACCTCTCCGCGACTCACGCAGCGGGAAACGTGGTGTCCGCTTTGAAACGGAGAACCGGAGAAGTGCCGAGGACCAAAACAAACGGGAAAGAAGAGCCAGGAAGTAGTTCAGAGAAGCAAGAAGACCCGATGAGGAGAGAGACGGGGCGGGGGTGGGAGCGGGGGTGGGGAGACAGGACAGGGAATCCAGGGAGTCAAGGGCAGCCTGGAGCCGAGCTACGCTGGAAGAAGCCGTGCCCTACATACCGGTTAGGAGGACGGTGTGGGGAGGGGGCTCAGGGGAGGATGGAGGAGGAAATACAGTGGCGGGACAGAGGGGAGCAACCTGCGTTACGGGGATAGCTCCCACACGGGGAACGACGGGTAGTTTGAAGTTAGGGTGATGTGCATCTGGGGAGGCCTTTGGGATCTTTGGTATTGGCTGATCTGTGTCTGTCAAAGCCAAAGTCATATGCTCCCTCCCTATGCGCTGCTGTCCTGGGTGGCTTCCCCTACGGTTGAGCTGCGTGGCCATCTCAGGGTTGGGCTGGCCTGACTGTGAACATATTTGGGCTGATGTGTGGCGCTTTCTCTCCCACACCCGTCTTTGCACGGACAGGGTGGGACTCTTTCTGTCTCCACCCTCGCTGTGTCCCTGGAGTCAGGCCAGGCTCTTCCTGAGTGTGCGCCTGCCTGTACACAGCTGAGGTCCCTCGAGGTGTGCCCCCTGCAGTCAAAGCCGGGGAGCTCTTCCATAGAAGAGTTTGGGTCTTAGTGTCTGTCCTACAGTGGGTCCTTCATTAACACCTGCTGGGGAGGCCACTCGGACTCTGGTTCACTGGACCAGCAGGGATGGGCCCCAGGTTTCTTAAAAACCGTGGGGCTGCAACTCCATACAGGACTGAATGGGGAGGGTGTGGAAAACTGGACAACAGTTAGAGGTTTTGGAGTATAAAACAGCCAAAAAGAAACTCAAAATCAAAAACATAACAAGACTGGGCCTGGAGGAATGACTCAGCGGTTAAGATCACTGATTGCTCTTCCAGAGGACCCAGGTTCAATTCCCAGCACCCACATGGCAGCTCACAACTGTCTGTAACTCCAATTCCCGGGGATCTGACACCTTCACACCAATGCACATAACACAAAGTTAAATTATTAAAAAAAAACATAACAAGACTGAGATGTCTCTGGCCTCACTTTCCTGTGCAGCACCACACAGCTTCACTGCAGCTCTGGACATGCAGCACGCTGGTGCCCTTATGACGACGAGCAGTGACCAGTGTCACCAAAATCCCTCAATGGTCGGCCTACTGTGTATGACTGTGGTGTTCAAATGGTACGAAAACGCTTTCTACTCTCATAGAAACATAATGGTTTAATTATGGAAAACAAAGACTCAGTATTGTCATCCCACCCTGTGTATCAAATGAATGTGTCTATGGATCGTTTTCTGCTAGAATGCTTGATTTTAAAAATGGTTGTTTGAGTTGCTGACTTGAGTTTTATTTAAAAAAAAAAAAAACTTGTTAAAAGCCAGGTATGGCGGCATGTGCTGTGGTGTTGGGGAGCAGAGTCAGGCCAGTCTCAGGAGCTCCTTGGCAAGCCAGCCGGTCTAGCTGGAGGACCGAGCTTCTGGTTCAGTAAGAGATTCTGTCTCAAAGCAGCAGCAGCAGCCAGTAACAAGCCAGAGGTGGGGGCAGATAAAGATACATCCATCCATCCTCCTGCAGGCTCCACAGTGCACACAAGCATGCGCACCTGCACACACACACATAAAAACAATGGCCCTGCGCACCCTTCTGCCATTCTGCGCTGTGCACGTATATGAAGTAGCACTCTCAGCGTTGGCGATGGTCAGATTGGAACACCGATCGACTGAAAAACATTGAAGCTGTTTTACGTTCCAGGATCAAACATTTTAACCAGTTAATGTTAATGTCAAAACAGATGAGCACATCATCTCATTAGTGCTCAAAGTTGCTTTCATTGTTTGTGAGCAGTAAAATTACATCGTACACCAAAAATTGTGAACAATTTTTTTTTTACGATTCATGGTCACTAAATGTTTTATTTTTTAAATTAATTATTTATTTTATGTGCATTGGTGTTTTGCCTGCCTGCATGTCTGTGTGAGGGGGTTGGATCTCCTGTAACTGGAGTTGCAAGCTGCCAGGTGGGTGCTGGGAATCGAACCTGGATCCTCTGGAAGGGCAGCCAGTGCTCTTTTTTTTTTTTTTTTTTTTTTTTGTTTTTTGAGACAGGGTTTCTCTGTGTAGCTTTGCGCCTTTCCTGGAACTCACTTGGTAGCCCAGGCTGGCCTCGAACTCACAGAGATCCGCCTGGCTCTGCCTCCCGAGTGCTGGGATTAAAGGCGTGCGCCACCACCGCCCGGCTAAGCCAGTGCTCTTAACAGCTGAGCCATCTCTTCAGCCTCCAAAATGTTTGATTTTTATACCTTTTTTGGGAGACAATCTGACTTTTTTAATTTTAAAATTTGTCTCTAAAGATTTGTTTTTGTATATGTGCTTAGGTTTTTTTTTTTTTTTAATGTGCATCGCATGTGCCCAGTGCCTGTGGAAGGCAGAAAGCTGTCAGATCCCCTGGAGCTGGAGTCACAGGCAGTTTTGAGCCACCTGATGTGAGGACTGGGAACTGAACCATGTCCTCTAGAAGAGCAGGGAGTGCTGTTAACACTGGGCTGTCTCACTGGTATCTTATCTGTGTTTTTATGTGTATATGAGTGTATGCCACAGGTGTGCAGGTCCCTGCTGTGGTGGTCTGAGTGAGAATGGCCCCCGTGGGCTCATATATTTGAATGCTTGGTCCCTAGTTGGTGGAACTGTTTTGGGAAGGATTAGTAGGTGTGGTCTTGCTGGAAGTACATCACTGGGGTGGGCTTTGAGGTTTCAAAAGCCCACGGGAGACTCAGTCTCTCATTCTCTGTCTCCAATTTGTGGGTCAGATGTAAGTTCTCAGTTACTGTCCAGCACCATGTCTGCCTGCCTGCTGCCGGGATCCCTGCCATGATGATCATGGACTCACCCTCTGAAACTGTAAGCAAGCCCCTAACTAAATGTTTTCTTTTATAAATTGCCTTAGTCATGGTGTTTCTTCACAGCCACACAACACTACGACAGAAGTTGGATTAGGGAAGTGGCCGAACGCTTTAAGTGGGGCTTAATGGGCCATGCCAGTAGAAGCATGGAAGGCAGGGTGCTGGGAGAAATGTAGACAATGATGGTCCCACTCAAGAGGTTTCAGAGGGAAATATGTTAGAAACTGGACTAGATCATTCTTGTGATATTTTAGCAAAGAAGGTGGCTGATTTCTGCCCTTGTCCTAAAAATCTTCCTGAAGCTAAATGGAAGAGTTTTGGATCAGTGTTGTTGGCAGAGGAGATTTCAAGACTGCAGCAGGCTTTCTTTGGAGCCCCCAGCCAGCTCCCAAATCATGACATGGATGGAGACATAATATTAATTTTGAATGCTCAGCCTTAGCTTATGCATGTCCCACAGGCTCTTATAACTTAAATTAACCTGTTTCTCTTCATCTACATTTTACCTCAGGGCTTTTTACCTTTCTTTCATTCTGTATGTCCTACTTACCTACTCTGTGTCTGTCTGTCTGGTGGATGCTTGACTGTTTGGCTCTGGGCATTTCCTTCTCTTTCTCCCTTGTTCTCTCTCAATTCCCTCTTCTTGAGCCTAGATTCCTCCTACTTATTCTCTCTGCCCGCCAGCCCCACCTATCCCTCTACTGCCTACCTATTGGCTGTTCAGCTTTTTATTAGACCAATCAGGTGCCTTAGGCAGGCAAAGCAACACATCTTTACATTGTTAAACAAATGCAGCATAAACAAATGTAACACATCTTTACGTAGTTAAAAGGAATATTCTACAACATAAACAAATGTACCACATCTTTGCCTAGTTAAGCAAATATTCCACAACACAAGACAGCCTAGTATTGACTGTGACATGTGGTTTTTAGTAGTCACTCTTATGCAGATCTACAATGAAAAAGAGCAAGTGAGGCAAAATAAATGCAAAATGTACAGTCTGAGGAGAAAAAGAGCACCAGGTAATGGACTGTTGGAACCAAGCCATGCGCTCAAAGAAATGAGAAGTTTAAAGAAAATCCTGGGGGCTGGAGAGATGGCTCAGAGGTTACGAGCACTGACTGCTCTTCCAGAGGTCCTGAGTTCAATTCCCAGCAACCACATGGTGGCTCACAACCATCTGTAATGAGGTTTGGTGCCCTCTTCTGGCCTGCAGTCACATATGCTGTATACATAATAAATAAATAAATCTTAAAAAGAAAAAGAAAGAAAATCCTGGTGCTAAATGGAATAAAGGGAGAGGTACCCTCAGGGAAAGACTACACCCAGCTAACCCTGCAACCTGTAAAAGGAAAAGGCCCAAGGAATGATTTGTTTTAAAAGAGTGTTAATAAGTTGAAGTTCATGCAAATTAATTTAAGGAGGGGCCAGGATCCATCCCAAGCAGGCAGGAGAACTTGGCAGCTTCAGCCCTGTGGTTCTGTGAAGAATAAACCTTATCAATAAAAACCAGCAGTCAGATATTGGGATAAAAGCTGAAAGATCAGAGAAGCAGGAGAGCGGCCACAGTCTCTTCCTTCCTCTTCCTCCAGTCCAAAGGGACTGAGATCCTGTCTCTGCCCTGCCTTATCACTTCCTGTTTCTCTGTACAGACCTCTAGACCTCTATGGCTAACTAGTGGCTAGCTCTGCCTTCTGATTCCAAGCAAGCTTTATTTGTCAGAACACAAAATATCACACATTTCCCCCTTTTTGTCTAAATAAAAAACAAAGGTTTTAACTAGCATAGAAAAACTATATACAATAAGTACAATAACTATATACAAATATATACAGGCAAGAATTACTTTAACAATGTCAAATTACAAAACAATTTAACAAATTCAGAGAAAATACTCCATTATCTATCCTACCTTGGTGAGTCCAAAGTGTTGTACCTAATCCACTTTCTTTTTTATTATTTATTTATTTATTTATTTATTTATTTATTTATTTATTATGTATACAGTGTTCTGCCTGCATGTATCCCTTCAGGCCAGAAGAGGGCACCAGATCTCATTACAGATGGCTGTGAGCCACCATGTGGTTGCTGGGAATTGAACTCGGGACCTCTGGAAGAGAAGTCAGTGCTCTTAACCCCTGAGCCATCGCTCCAGCCCCTAATCCACTTTCTATCCTAACTTGTATTACCAACCCAAAACTATCTTTTGATGTCTCTCAATCTTATACACTTACACCTCTTTTGTGAGTTTCTTTTCTGAATTTGATAACAAGGAAAACTATAACTATAACTATCTAGTCTTCAACTCCATCAGAGACTTGAGAAGGATAAACTACTACCCGAGTAAACAGGAAGTGTAGAGCAAACAACTTCCAAAAATAAGAAATGACAGTAACAGCAGGCTGCCTGCATGTCACCCAAGGTTCCTCTGCAATGTTGGGGCATCCATCTTTGGCCTGCAGGTCTAGAATATCTGACAGACTTATCTGTGAAGTAGGATTTTTGAAGGACTGTCCTGCCTTGTCTTTGCAAAGTTCGGCAGTCCTTTGTTTTCTGCTCTGCTTGTCCAATTTAGACAGCATACTGTCAGCAGTCAAGGCAAGGGCACTTTCTTGCCCAGTGGCTAACTTTTGCCACAAAGAAAGTAAACTCCATATGGAGTTTCTTCGATACCCATTATCTCTGAAGTAGATTGGTGCTGCCAGGCACAGACATGTCTCATTCTCATAAAAAAAAAAGAACCTTATGTTATTAAACATCTTAAATGCCATATTCTGTAGGTCTCTGAAGCATTTGAAGACTACCTGTCTATCTAAAATACATCTCTGTTTGACCTTGAAAACATACCTAACATGACTGCAAGTTTGATTATAATAGGTGACTAACTACTAACCTTCATTTCTTTATTATCCTAAATAGTTTGTAATAATAACTTTCAAAGGACTAGAAATTTACATTACATTGTTAAATGAGCTATATAGGTACAATACCTTGAACAAGAGTAGAAACATATGTACAGTATGTTCTAACCAAAATAACTTTAAATTTGTATCAATATACAAAAATATCTTAAACAAGTGTAGAAACAGATACAGTATAACAAAAATAACCTCAAATTTGTATCAATATACAAAAAATCCATATCAATGCAAAATATTTAAGACTAGTAGTTGCTTTTTTGGTTTAAAAGTAGATTTAATAATCTACCCTTTTAGCCGGGCGGTGGTGGCGCACGCCTTTAATCCCAGCACTCGGGAGGCAGAGCCAGGCGGATCTCTGTGAGTTCGAGGCCAGCCTGGTCTCCAAAGCGAGTACCAGGAAAGGCGCAAAGCTACACAGAGAAACCCTGTCTCGAAAAACCAAAAAAAAAAAAAAAAATAAAAATAAAAATAAAAAAAAATAATCTACCCTTTTATCCTATGTCTATATCCCCCCTTTTTCTTTTTAGAATGAGATCCCTGAATCTAATCTCCTTTGTTCAGATTTTTTCCTGACCATTACCAATAACAACTTGTAACTAATCCCCCTAAACAATAACCATAACCCATTGAATGACCAAAAACTGCCCACCTTCCCTCTTGGGAATGTGGGCATTGTGTTCTTAAAATTACTGCCTTCTGTCTGGGGATCATGGCATCTTTAGGGGACCCTGAAAAAAATTGGGATAATTGTCAAGTCCTGGGAGAGCCAGCTATATCATTTGTTATCTAGTTTCTGTGAAATGGGAAAGTGCAGGGCTTATCTCAAATCCTGGCTAGAGTAGTCTGTGAGGCTGGACCATCTCAGCTAGCCACCTTGAAATTGTCCTGAACAGTTTGTAGTTCAATGCTGATCTTTAGGCAGTGTCTGTCAGGTTTGTGGCATTACCATAGTCCCAGTGGAATTGTCATTGTGGGGCTCCTTTTGGAAACTTCAAAGGTCACCGTTAGGTGTAATCATGGTTCATTGCAGAAAACTTAAACTTTTTAAATGTCATATGCAGCAGATCTAGAAGAGCTTAAAGGACCATAATTTGTTATGCATAACCAGAGTACATAAACTTAATTTCTAGTTACCTGATAGAGACTCAAACCTGAAACCATGTACAAGAAGTTAGTTAAAGCCATTTTCTAGAATTAGTTCTCTACATGTCCATTAACATCATGACACAAAGTTGAAAAATATATATATATATTAATTTTTATAAATTTTGAGATATTTATACCTTAAGAAAAAATTTAAAGAGTCAAAATAGAACCAAAGAATTATGAGATTAGTGGCAATAGACTAGTCCCTTAGTGTTGGTTTTTCTTCTGTCCTATGTCAGGTGGCTCTTCTGACATGAGACAGAGATTTTGCGTTTTCCTTTAACAAGCATGCTTGGGTTTAGAGAAGGAGAGAGCCACGCTCCAACTCCAAAGCCAGCTTTAATTTTTTTTATTTTGTTTTTTTTTTTTTTTTTGAGACAGGGTTTCTCTGTGTAGTTCTGGCTGTCCTGGATCTCGCTCTGTAGACCAGGCTGGCCTTGAACTTACAGAGATCCAGCTGGCTCTGCCTCTCAAGTGCTGGGATTAAAGGTGTGCGCCACCACCACCCGACTCAGCTTTACTTTTTAATTGAACTGGGAATACAAAAAGACCATTTGCATTATGTGTCTGTAGAGAACAGCAGAAGCAAACATTTGGGAAGATTTATGAAACTTTATCCTGTTGGAAATGTGCTATACCAATAGGCCAATTTACTCTTTTTCTTGGTACATTTTCTCTGGATGATTCATTCTTTTTCTTCAGATGCCTCATTTGTTCAGTGGTCTTCAGATTCCTTAGCTGGATGTCTTCATTCTTCTGGAAAGACAAAACCCTGCCCCAACGCTAACTTTGGGGAGTTTCCCTTTTGGCAAGTTATGTCTGAGCAAATGAAAAGCATTTATGTTCTTTTTTTTTTTTTTTTTTTTTTTTTTTTTTTTTTTTTGGTTTTTCGAGACAGGGTTTCTCTGTGTAGCTTTGCGCCTTTCCTGGAACTCGCTTTGGAGACCAGGCTGGCCTCGAACTCACAAAGATCCGCCTGCCTCTGCCTCCCGAGTGCTGGGATTAAAGGCGTGCGCCACCACCGCCCGGCGCATTTATGTTCTTATAAGTTAGTTTTCTAATCCATTCATCTATGCGTGCTGATCTTGCCTTTAAAGGCCTAATTACCATTTTGCATTCTGAATTAGCATTTTCAAAAGTCAAAGATTCAATTATTATTTGTCTATCTTCTGAATTTGGTATCATTTTATTTACAGCTGAAGTCAATCTTTGTAAAAAATCAGTGAAGGTTTCCTTTGGACCCTGTATAACTTCAGTAAATGACTCAGTTCTCTTTCTGACTTCTTCAATTCTGTCCCAAGCATTCAAAGCTGCTGCTTGGCATAGAGCCAGGTCATCATATAGAGACTATCTTTGTACATCAGCATAATCTCCCTCTCCAAGAAGTTGGTCTTGGGAAATTTCAGGACCTGTAGTCCTACTTCATTGTTCAATGGTCCTAGCCTCATCTTTCCACCAAGTCCTCTACTGTAATTGAGGACCAGGCCCCAGTACTGCTGCAACCAAGTCTCTCCAGTCTTGTGGGACAATTCTGTTACTAGTTGACCATGAAGTTAACATCTGTTTCACAAAAGATGAATGCATACCATATGAGACTATCACTTCCTTAAATCTCCCCAAATCTACCATTTCCACAGGAGTCCAGCCAGCTCTTACACAGCCTTGGAGATACCTGTCATTTGACAGTTCCTGTAAGGTGGCTAGATAAATTAAGGTTGGTTATTTGATAACCTTGTTACATCATCATGCCTAATGATCAGCAGCTTAGCCCTCACCAGAATACTCTTTCTTACAGGCTTCTACTCAAAAGACCTAATCATTGAAGCCACAAACATGTGCTGTACCAATGCCTGAGCCCTTTTAATCACGTTAGTTGCCACCTCTCTAACAGGACTGTTCCTCTCTAATTTTATAGTATAATGATGAGGTTGGATCTCCTTTAAATTCCTCTGTGTCTGAATATCTCTATTATCCATTTTAATAAGTTTTTCTAAGGCTTGTAAGTTATCAGTCAAAATTGCATTATTTTCCTTAGTAATTATTTGTAAGGCTTGCATGTTATCAGTAGTAACCCTTTTCTAAGTCCTGTATCTTATGAATAGCAAGTTTTTCTAAGGTTTGTATCTTATCAAATTTCTCATATTTGGCACTGATATCAACCAACTTTTTTAGAGATAAAACAAGAATTACCAAACTGATAATGATAATAATTGACATTATGTAAACCCCATTGAAGTTAATTATCCCCTCATTTAATTGTTCTATTTTCTTTTTTTAAAATTTTTTAATTTACTTTTATTTTATGTACATTGGTGTTTTGCCTGAAGGTCAGATCTTTGAGTTACAGACAGTTGTTAGCTGCCTTGTGGGTGCTGGGATTTGAACCCGGGTCCTTTGGGAGTGCAGTCAGTGCCCTTAACCACTGAGCCATCTCTCCAGCCCTAATTGTTCTATTTTCAAACCATCCATTGTGTAATCATGCAGAGACCTAACTCCTAATTTTAATAGTGTTTCCCATTTTTTAACGTGAGAAAAGACTTTTTTTTAAAAACTAATTCTCCCTTTTAAGAATTCCCAACTGTCTCACCAAATCTGCTGCTGCTGCTGCTGCTGCTGCTGCTGCTGCTGCTGCTGCTGCAGTGTGATGTTGACTGCTGCTGCAGTGTGAGGCTGACTGCTGCTGCAGTGTGAGGCTGACTGCTGCTGCAGTGTGAGGCTGGCTGCTGCTGCAGTGTGAGGCTGACTGCTGCTGCAGTGTGAGGCTGGCTGCTGCTGCAGTGTGAGGCTGACTGCTGCTGCAGTGTGAGGCTGACTGCTGCTGCAGTGTGAGGCTGACTGCTGCTGCAGTGTGAGGCTGACTGCTGCTGCTGCTGCTGCTGCAGTGTGAGGCTGACTGCTGCTGCAGTGTGAGGCTGACTGCTGCTGCAGTGTGATGTTGACTGCTGCTGCAGTGTGATGTTGACTGCTGCTGCAGTGTGAGGCTGACTGCTGCTGCAGTGTGATGTTGACTGCTGCTGCAGTGTGATGTTGACTGCTGCTGCAGTGTGATGTTGACTGCTGCTGCAGTGTGAGGCTGACTGCTGCTGCAGTGTGAGGCTGACTGCTGCTGCAGTGTGAGGCTGACTGCTGCTGCAGTGTGAGGCTGACTGCTGCTGCAGTGTGAGGCTGACTGCTGCTGCAGTGTGAGGCTGACTGCTGCTGTGCAGCACGTTTGCGCAGAGAACACAGGGGTGCACAGCCTGGCTGAGGACAGCTGCCACTGATGGCATGTCAGCAGCCTGAGGAGGGGGTGCAGGGAAAGCCCACAACCCACCGGGGAAAAGGAGTCAAAGAGCCTGCTGTCTGCACGGGGTTGGGGGGGAAGGGGGGCACGATGTGCAAAAGCAGCATGTGTGACCTGACCGGCAGGGAGTGAAAGCACAGAGCTGCCTGAAGGCAGGTGGTGGTGGTGGTGGTGAGAGGCTTACTCCTGCGGTGTTTAGAGCCCAGGGGCCTGTGGTGTTTGGTGCTTGTGGAGATTGCTGTGGAGAGCCTGCAACAGGACAATTCCGGACTTGCTCAGAAGGTTTGGGGAAGAAAGGGAAAACCTAGCCGGCAGTGCTGTGACTCCAGGGGGTGCCAGCGCCTGCAAAGCCACGGGCAAGCGGCTATCTGGTGAATTCATGCCCCAAAAGTTAGATACCAGATGAAGCATAAATCTAATTGATCTTATCAATAAAAACCAGGAGTCAGATACTGGAGTAAAACCTGAAAGATCAGAGAAGCAGGAGAGCGGCCACAGTCTCTTCCTTCCTCTTCCAGTCCAAAAGGGACTGTCTCTGCCCTGCCTTATCGCTTCCTGTTCCTCTCTGTACAGACCTCCAGACCTCTACGGCTAACTCTGCCCTCTGACTCCAAGCAAGCTTTGTCAGAACACAAACAAAATACCACACAATAGTTCTGGCTTTGTCAAGAAAATGTACAAGAGGTAAAGGACTGTGGAATCTTCCTCTGCAGTTAAAGAAAGCTGCCGAGGCCAGGCATGTGTCAGGGGTGTCCCTGCATGGAGGCCTGGAAAGGCCATTGCATGAAGCTGTGAAGGTCAAACCTGGATTGTCTTAGAGACCCCAAGATTTTGAAGACCCCAGTGATAGGAATTCTAGCCACGCCCCCATGATCCGCACATGCCCTGGTGAGACACTTAGTCAATTCTGCCTAGTAATTTCTGGGTCATACGTCCTACATAATCCATGCGCTGTGTGGTCACATAAATAGTGCATGGCGTGACCACGTAATCTATGCGCATGAGTGGAGTAGCCACGTGGGCCCATGTGCGCATGCACAGAGTAGTCCTTAAAAGGTGGATCGCACGTAGCCTCCCCCTCCTCTTCATGTGTCTTTCCAGGAGGCCTGATCACACCCTGTCCTTTTCTCCTTTTCTTTTTTTTTTTTTTTTTTTTTTTTTTTTTGGTTTTTCGAGACAGGGTTTCTCTGTGTAGCTTTGCGCCTTTCCTGGAACTCGCTTTGGAGACCAGGCTGGCCTCGAACTCACAGAGATCCACCTGGCTCTGCCTCCCGAGTGCTGGGATTAAAGGCGTGTGCCACCACCACCCGGCTCTTTTCTCCTTTTCTTAATAAAACTCTTGTTACTAGATTTTTGTTGTGTTCTGTGACTTTTCCTCGCAGGGTAAGAATACCGATAAAACTAATAGCCAGAGCTGTGGGATACTGACCAAGGGAACTGCTAACACATGTGGAACCAGTCCAAGAGAGAGAAATGTATTTCAGTCAACAAAGCTGGAAGGGTGGAGCCAAGTAAGCCCTTTGACATAGACTTAGAGATACTGGATTTGGACTTTGCCCTGCTGAGGTTTGGTCCAGCATTTCCTCACTGTGTCCCCTTTCCTTTTGGAGTGGTAATGTCTATCTTGTGCCATGGCATATTGGATTTTATCAAGTGTCAGTTAAGGAGAATGCCATGAGTCTCAGAAGAGACTTTAGACTTTTAAACAGTGTTGAGATTGTGAAAGACTATGGTAGCTTTTGAAGCTGGACTGAATGTATTTGCTTTGTGATGTAGCTACAAGCCTGTGGGGGCCAGAGAGTGGAATGTGGGGGTTTAGATGAGAATATCTGTCATATATTTGAATGCTTGGTCCCTAGTTGGCGGAACTGTTTTGGGGTGACTAGGATGTAGATGGGGTTTTCCTAAGCTGGCAGCCACTTCCCAAATAACTGACTCAGAGACTTAATATAAATTACAAATGCTTGGCCAATAGCTCAGGCTTGTTACTAACTAGCTCTTACAACTTAACCCATTTCTATTAATCTACGTGCTGCCCCAAGGCTCGTGGCTTTTACCTCTATCCCATTTTGTGTGTCCAACTTGTTCTGCATCTGGCTGGTGACTCCTCGGACTCCACCCTTCTTCCTCCCAGCATTCTCTCTGTCTCGGGCTGTCTCACCCAACCCCTGTGCAGCTACTGGCCAATCAGCTTTTTATTAACAATGAGAGCAATACATATTTACAATGTACAGAAGGATTATTCCACATTGCTAGAATGTGTGGCCTTGTTGGGGGAGGTGTCTCATTGTGGGTGGGCTTTGAGGTTTCAAAAGCCCATGCCAGGCCCAGTCTCTTTTGTTCTATGCATCTCATTTATGGAAAAGATGTAATCTCTCAGCTACTGCTCCAGCACCATGCCTGCATCCCTGCTGCCATGTTTCCCACCATAGTGGCCACGGGCTCACCCTTGGACACTATAACCAAGCCTCCAGTTAATTTTTTTCTTTTATAAGTTGCCTTGGTCATAGTTGTAAGGATTCTGTGTATGCACAGCTCGGGGGGCTTGTCTGGCGCCTTATTATGTCATTAGCGGGCAACTGCGTCCCAGCCTAAAAGCTGAATGTGCACTCCCACACTCTCTGTCTCTCTGTCTCTCTCTCTCTTTGTCTCTCTGTCTCTCTCTCTGTCTCTCTGTCTCTCTCTCTCTCTCTTTCTGTCCCTCTCTCTCCTTCTCCTAATAAACCTCTAAAAGGTACCACTGGGTTCTGTCGTGACTGTAACCAGCACCGCCACGGTAACCGGAGCCAGGTACCAGCGCCGTATACCCTTTCAATAGTGACTCTTCACAGCAATAGAACAGAATAATACACCTGCCAAGGCCAGAAGATGGTGTCAGATGCCCTGGAGCTGGAGTTACAGGCACTTGTGAGCTAACACATGGGTGCTGGGAACCAAACTCAGGAGGAGCAGCAAGTGCTCTTAACTGAGCCATTCCCCCCACCCACACACACACCAGTACAACTATTCTATGTAGCTATACCTGGGGTTATATGAACAATTCTCAGAGGAAAAGGGATTTTGAATACAAACAGCAGTCCTGCTTTCTCTGGCTAAGCCTGTGGTACCTCGTCATGGTTCCCGCAACACACAAACAAGGGAGTGGATGGACTTTGTTTCCTGCCTGGGACCCCCAAGATGGAGACTGTCCCTCCGTTCACCCCCAGAATGCCCAGGGCCTGCAATGGTTCCAGTCCCTCCATCTTTGATATGTATTAGCCAGGGTTCTCCAGGGCATCATAAGGGACAGAATGAACATATGTAACAAAGGGCACTTACTAAATTGTCTTGCAGGATACGGGATGGACAGTGCAGCAATGGCTGTCTGAGTTCTGCAGAGGCTGAGTGCCTTACAACTGTCTCATCCGCAAGGCTGGATGCCTTACCAGTCCCGATCTGGCACGGAAGGCCTGGAGGGGTCCTGGAGAATCACTAGTCTTCAGTCCACCTTGCAAAGCTGAAGAGGCTGGGTTCTGATGTCAGGTGGCGGTGGAGGCAACCACAGAGTAGACGCACTCACCAGCAAGAGGCAAAGGCCAGCAGGGAGTACTCCCTTCCGTATAGACCTTACCATCACTGGGCAGACTGGAAGTACTGCCGCTCTACGGTCTTGTCTCCCCGCCCCAACGCCAGCTAGTGTTTCCTGGAGATGCTTTCACAGACCGGCCAGGCTGATCTCTTACATGGCCCCAGATTCAACCAAACTGACAGTCGAGGTTAGCCAGCACATCTGTCAGAGGTTGGGGGTCACCCTGGGTCTGGCCCCTTGGTTGTGACCTTTGAACTGGCATTGCCTCCAAGGCTCCTGTCTTCGTTAGGGTGTCTCTTGCTGTGAAGAGACACCATGGCCACAGCAGCTCTTATAAAGGAAAACTTTTAATCGGGGTGGCTTGCTTACAGTTTCTGAAGTTCAGTCCATTGTCATCATGGCAGGAGCATGGCCCCATGCAGGCAGACATGGTGCGGGCTACCTCTTGATCAGAAGGCAACAGGAAGTAGACTGACACTGAGCGAAGCTTAAGCAAAAGAGACCTCAAAGCCCGCCCCCACCGTGACACACTTCCTTCAACAAGGCCACACCTCCCAATGGTGCCACTCCCTGTGAGCTTATGGGGGCCAGTTACATTCAAAGTACCACAGCTCCTTTGGGTCCTGCCCCTCCCACCCCCCGCCTCTGGCAGTGAAGGTGGAGGTAAAGGCTCTGTAGCCATGGAACGGGGGCCAAGGTCCTCTGTGCCATTAGCTCCCCACACGTCCAGGCTGGAGATGGGAGCTGTGTTGGCAGTACCCTCTGTCAGAGCCATAATTTCACTGTGAGGATGCATGGTGTCATATTGGAAGGTACTTCTTACATAACTTGGGGACAGAGTCTACTCGTGTGGCAGTACTTTGAGGTGTGAGGACCTGAGAGTCAGCTGCCAGAGGAGGAAGTAGAGACCGCCCTCTCTGAGGGTGAACAGTTTGGAAGCTCCAGAAAGCAAAGACTCATCTATTGGGTCACCTGTCATCAGATTAACAGGCTCTGTGGCCACAGAACGACTGCTTGAGCATCAGACATTAAAAACAGGCCCAACCATAGCTAAGAAGAAGAGATGAGGTCTCTTTTAAGGAAAACGAGAAAGAATCCATGTCCAGAAATCCCTGTGGATCCCACAGACCCACCCATGGGAGGGGGTACAGCTTCCTGTGAGATCTGAATCCGGGCTTGACTCTGGAGTCCAGTGCAGATGGGTCATCTCAGCACTCAGGAGGCTGGGTTTGAGGCTAGCCTGGGCCATAGAGTGAGACCCTGTCACCCCTTGTCCTCCACTCCAAAAGAAAGACATGTATGGTGGGCCCCTGAGCTGTGCACCCCAGACCTGGCTCCCAGACTGGATGGAATGGGGGCCTCAGAATCCACGGTGGGCATTCTCCTGTTGCTGTGGCAACCACAGACGCACTTGGGTGTTGAGGGAGTGAGTTTAAAGGGTTAGGAGGGATCGAGCACATGGGGGAACTTGGCGAACACCGTGCCAGTTTGCTTAACAACCCTGCCCCGGAGGTCAAGACTTCGGGTGGGTCAGAGCACGGGCAGAGCAATGGCGGTCTGGGCAATGGCAATTTGGGCCACCAGAGTGCGTCCTTTGAGAGCCCCTGGCTCCAGGGTTCCCAGGCCACCGAAGGGGTAGACGCAGAAGACCCAGAGGAAGAGATTCCCCCGGAGGAGGTGGCTGGGGAAGAGCTCCCCGAGGCCCCCAATCTGGATGACAGTCTTGGACGAGAGTTGGAGGTGGAAGTGGTTGAAATGAGGTAGGTGTTGGGGAGCTGGTGGGCAGGTGGGTGCCGGGAGGAAGCATACACTGACATTCCCGTCTATCCTGGCCATCTTCATCGTCCTTCCCCTTAGAGACCCCAGCTTCCCCAAGGCTGGGGTGCTGTTGGTAACTGTCCTGCTCTGGTCCTGACACACGGCAGCTGTTCAGTAAACACTGGCGAGTGAAGTGGTGTGTCAGGCTTTCCTGGGCCACAAACCAGCTCCCAAATCATGACACGGACTTATATTAGTTATGAGTGCTCAGTCTTAGCTTAGGCTTGTCCCACGCGCTCTTATAACTTAACTTAACCTGTTTCTCCTCATCTACATTTTGCCTCAGGGTTTTTAACCTTTCTTTCACTCTGTCTGTCCTACTTTTCCTGCTTCTTCTGTGTCTGTCTGTCTGGCAGCTGCCTGGCTGGCCGGCCCCAGGTGGCTCGCTCTCTTTCTCCCTCATTCTCCCTCTCTTGTTCCCTCCCTTCCTCTCTCCTCTCTCCTCTCAAGCCTAGATTCCTCCTCCTAGTTAGTCTCTCTGCCCGCCGGCCCCGCCTATCCCTCTCCCGCATTACTGTTGGCTGTTCAGCTTTTTGTTAGACCGATCAGGTGCCTTAGGCAGGCAATGCAACCCATCTTTACATGGTTAGACAAGCGCAGCATAAACAAATGTAGCACATCTTTACATACTTAAAGTAATATTCCACAACAAGTGAGCACCGCGTTCTTTCTCCCAACAGCCCCAGGAGGTGGGAGCTGGCTTCTTCCAGTTCCATGGGCTCTGGGCTCAGTGTATGAACAGTGGGGAGCCTGGGTGATGCCAGACTCCTTCACAGAGAGTGGCGAGGCGCCAGGGGCCCAGAGCTGACCAAAGACTTCTGATGAGGGGAGGGCAGACTGCTCTGTAGGTCCCCAGACACATCGAGGTGGACCAGCAGACCCTGACACCACCCTGTCTCGTAGCCAGCTGTCCATCACCGAGCGGACTCCCAGCGTCTCCGTAGCCAAGAGCAAGAAAAAGAAGGGCCGGAGGCTGCTGGAGCTGGCAAAGCCCAAGACCAACTGGCAATGCCTGAGAGACAGGTGAGGGCCGGGGCCCATGAGGCGGTGAGGCACTGGAGCCCCCGGCCGGCTGCGCTCTTCTGACCCCGTCTCCAACCCATCTCCTCCCCCCTGCGTCATCTTGGGCGGGGCACCTAGAGAACGGGTTGTCGGGGAAGCGTCAGGCAGAGGTTGGGCCCTTGGGTGGTAACCAGTGGAGAGTGAGGAATCTGGGAGCCAGTGGGGACCCAGAGGCAAAGGCAGGGCCTGGGACCCTGTCTCGTCGCAGGAAGGGGTGCTGTTGTAAGGGCTATGCCTGGATGTCCCCACGCAAGAACAACTTGCAGTTCTGCCTGTATTGGTGAGTTGGGGTGTCCCCTCCTTCTGTCACCTGTGCATGTCAGGGACATGCCAGGCCAAGGGGTACACCTGAGCTGCCTTCTCTCCAGGGACCAGGTTCTGGGGGTGGAGGGCTCTTGGATGGGGGCTCCCTCATGCTAGGACTGCCCAGCCTCCTGCTGGGCACTGGGCCTGCTGGGCACTGGGCCTGCTGGGCAGTGTCTGCACACCCGAGGGCCTAGCTCTCCAAGTGCACTTGGCCTCCCCCTCTCCCCCGCCCCATCTTGGAACAGGGGCCTTGCTCGAGATAATCCGTTTCCCCCGGTGCTGGCGGCCCTAGTCCAGCCCAGTCTTCCTTTCCTCCGTGTCCTCCCCCCATTTCCTCAGGCTGCCCTCCCTGGCTCCCCAGCTTCCTGTCCAATGCTCCAGGGCCCCAGGCTTCCCTTCCCCAGCAGGGCACAGGGCACAGGGCACTCTGCCCTGAGCTGCTCGGCTGTATTCCAGGCCTTCTGTATACTGGACCGAGCGATTTATTGAGGACACCACCTTGACCATCACGGTCCCTGGTAGGTTCCGTCTCTCCAGGGTAGCCTGGGTGTCCTCTGCCTAGTTTGGGGCCTGCGGGTTCCATTCAGTATGTGGCCACGTGCGTCACCTCCCCAGGCTTCCCCCACCTCCCTGAGTGGCTAGAATCCTGTAGACACATCACAGAGTGTTCAGGACAGAGTCTTCAAGGCAAATCTGGACAGGGCTAGTGTTTGTTCTACAGAGATCCCACCTTCCTCCCCAAGTGGGATCCACCTTCTTTGAGAGCATGGACTCCTTCAAATAAAGTCCTCTCCCAACAAGAGCTCTTATGTGGATGAGCCTAGCCAGCAGGGTCTCTCTTGGGGCCCCAGACTCAGCCATGGCCCACGAGCCCTAGAAATCCTAGGCTGGCACTAACTTCTGACAAAAACCCAGCTTCTGAGCCTCGCGTGCTCAAGCCTGGGGAGGAAGGAGCCGCAGTCTTACCGTCCTGTCGCCCGTGTTATGCCTGTTCTCCCCATGATAGGGTGGGTGGCTGTGGACACCTTCTGGCAAAGTGTCTGCCCATGTCTCTAGCCTGTGCCCCCTGCCTGGACCGGTGGAGGGCTGAGTAGAACCCTGGGGTGGAGGGTGGCTCCCGCCGGGGCCCAGTATAGCGGTGGTGACTGGACCATTTCCGTTCAGCGGTGTCCCACCGAGTGGAGGAGTTGTCGCGGCCCAAGAGGTTCTACCTGGAATATTACAACAACAACAGGTGAGCGCGAGCGGGCGGGCGGGCGGGCGGGAGCCCTGGCTCTGAGCCTCCTCCTCTTTCTTTCCGAGATGCGCTTAGCATGTCCCACTTCTGGGTCTTGAGTCTCAACAGCTCCCAGCCAATGTCCCAAGGTGGACTGACCTCGGGGGTCGTGGGGGCGGCACCCACAGGTGACCAACCTGGCCTCACGTGTCCTTGGCATTCGTGACCGGAGGTTATAGAGGCGGGACCTAGAGGACAGTCATGCTTTCTGAAGCCTGTCCTCAGAGCCCCTCAGGCAAAGCTTTGCTGTCTCTGCGCACAGAGGAAATACACCCCCACTGACGGCTGCACTGTGGGGTCCTGGGTTTCCACACCTGTGTTTACGCACAGTCCCATCGTGCCTTGGCACTGTGTTACCACCTGAGTGGGAGGAAGCTGAAGTCACGCTCACTCGTGGGTGGCAATACCCCCGGCACTGGGGTGGATTCAGAGTGAGCTGCTGCATTCCCACCTCAGGCAGCCGGTGGGAGGGTTGGTTTAGCAATCGCAGAAGCTCAGGTCAGTAGCGCCATTCTTGTGGCAGTGTTTGCTCCCGGACGGACGGACGCGGCAGAGATGGGACCTGGTTTTACCCTTTGAGCTCAGGGTAGTCACCGTCCTAGCCTTTTGGGGCAGCCACAGGACACGTTATCTCTGGGTTCTCATCCCCATCAGGCTATTTTGCCTGGCCCTTTGCCATACAGGAAGGTGGGGAAAGAAAGTACACACCCGAGGGTGGCCCACCCTCTGGGCTGGATACCTGGGAGAGATCTGTTTTGGCCCTGCTGGATCTCCCAGGAGGCATTTCCTGCCCCAGTGTCCTCAGATCACACATCCCAGGAGCATTCTGGGCATTCTGAGAAAGACCACACACAGTCCCTCACAGCTTTCCAGAGGGGTGGGATGATGGCTGAACTCCGGGTGCCTTTTAGGACAACACCCATCTGGCCTATCCCTCGGTCCACTTTGGAGTATCAACCGTCTAATCGACTGAAGCAACTGGCTATTCCGAAGGTTCGCAACAACATCTGGAGCATTAATATGTCTGAGGTAGGTGGCGCTTGCCACACACACTGGATGGGACAGTGGGGACAGCTGCGTGTGGCTGGGTGTAGGTGAGGGGACGGTGGGCAGCCTCTATGGGGTGGGTGGGTGCTCCTCCACACTCTGGCCCTTGAACCTTGTCACCCTCCCCTGCCCTCCCTGGGATTCCAGGACTTCTTGATCACTCCCCGTCAGCCCAGCATCTGGTCTCCAGCTGGGATGGGGCTCCACTGTGAAGTGACACCACCCAAAGGGATGTGACCAGTCACTCTGGGTGGTCATCTGAACCCGTTTCTTTTTTTAATTTAATTTTTTTTTATTTTATAATTTTAAAGTCCAGCTGGGGTTCCCTGGCCAGACAGTTGAGTCATGAGCCCCAGGTTCAGGGAGAGACCCTGTCTCCAAAACCAAAACCTTGCCAGGCATGATGGTGAATGCCTTTAATCCCAGCACTGCAGAGGCAGGAGGAGCGGGAGGAGCGGGAGGAGCGGGAGGAGGCGGGAGGCAGGTGGATCTCTGAGAGTTCAAGTCCAGCCTGGACTGCATAATGAATTCCAGGACAGTCAGGGCTATGTAGAGAGACCTTGTCTCAAAAACAAAAACAAACAAACAACCCCCCCCAACCAAACTAAACTAAAGTGGCACACATCTGTCATCCATGGCACTCACGGGGTGGATGTAGGAGGGTCAGGAGTTCAAGGCCACCTTTAGCTACTTAACAAGTTCAAGGCTAGCCTGGGCTGCTTGAGACCCTGTTTCAAAAACACAAAACAAGTCCTGGCAACATACCACCTCTTTCATAACACTCCCAATCACGCTTCTGATAGACCAAGGAAAGTTTAAAAGCAGAACAAAAACACACTACAAAATAACAAGAATTCCTTAACATGTGTTCTGGAAGTGTGGCCCGGACTGAATTCCCCGCGAGTCTCAGGTGACTTTTGAACTTGGATTTCATTTGGATCCAAATGAGAACTTTCCACCCACCGCCTCCTGTCCCCACACTCACACCCCCTTCCCGCACTCAGGCCACTCCTGGTGCCTTAGGGCTGTAATCCCCTAAGGCCTCCATGGTCGCCTGGACCCTCTGAAGAGTCCAGGCTCCTGGGCCTGGAGTTGAGGCCCCACTGGGAACTTTCTATCCTTCTGCAAGTTCCTCCCCTGTAACAGTTGAAGGTCTAGCCTCAGCCAAGCCCAGGCTTTGCCCAGAACAATCCCTCAGTCGTACCTAGTCCTACACAAGGCCCTCCTGCGTGTGTCTCGGCACTGTGGTTACTGGCCTGGTCTCTCGGGGACTCCTGTCACTGCCCATCGTGTGGTCCCGACACCAGCTTCCTGGAGCTGGAACTGTGTCTTCCTGTGTGCACTGGCTTTTGCAGAGCTCAGTAAGTCCTGCTAGGTTGTTGACACATGCAGGCCTCTCTCTTGGTCTGTGAGGAGCAAGGTTAAGGGACCCATGAGAGGGTCAGTGGGGAAGACTCAGGCTGGACAGTGGGTCGGACAGTGAGAGATGGCTCAGCTGTTAGGAGCCTGGCTGCTCTGAGCTTCATCCACCGCACACCCCTGCTGGTGACTCCAGTTCCAGAGGATTTGGCACCCTCTTCTGGCCCCTGAAGGCAGTGCACACATGTGATGCACAGATATACACATAAAAATTATAAAAATATTTTTAATAAAAGAACGTACCTTAGGGAGATATGTCCTTTGGCCTGACTCCCTTTCCCACCTCAGCAGGCCCTCATGGCCTCCCCCCTCCACCTCAGCAGGCCCTCATGGCCTCCCCCCTCCACCTCAGCAGCCCCTCATGGCCCCCCCCCTCCACCTCAGCAGCCCCTCATGGCCTCCCCCCCTCCACCTCAGCAGCCCCTCATGGCCTCCCCCCCTCCACCTCAGCAGCCCCTCATGGCCTCCCCCCCTCCACCTCAGCAGCCCCTCATGGCCTCCCCCCCCTCCACCTCAGCAGCCCCTCATGGCCTCCCCCCCTCCACCTCAGCAGCCCCTCATGGCCTCTCCATGCACCTCAGGAGCTCATTCTGTCCTCCTCTTCGCTGGTGACTGGTGTCCACCTCCCTCCCTCTGTTCCACACTCACAGTGCAACCATTGGCTTATGTGGAAGCATTTTAACCCACGTCCCGTCTTGATCAGGTGAATTCAGCGAAGCTACCCTCTGGCTTTGCATGCGTGCTATGTATTGATGCCAGAGCTGCGAGGTACGAACCCCTCCAAGCTGTGCACGGAGCTGCTCTCCTGCTGTAGTGCACGGACCCCTCCAAGCTGTGCACGGAGCTGCTCTCCTGCTGTAGTGCACAGACCCTCCAAGCTGTGCACGGAGCTGCTCTCCTGCTGTAGTGCACGGACCCCTCCAAGCTGTTCAGAGCTGCTCTCCTGCTGTAGTGCACGGACCCCTCCAAGCTGTGCACGGAGCTGCTCTCCTGCTGTAGTGCATGGACCCCTCCAAGCTGTTCAGAGCTGCTCTCCTGCTGTAGTGCATGGACCCCTCCAAGCTGTTCAGAGCTGCTCTCCTGCTGTAGTGCATGGACCCTTCCAAGCTGTTCAGAGCTGCTCTCCTGCTGTAGTGCATGGACCCCTCCAAGCTGTTCAGAGCTGCTCTCCTGCTGTAGTGCATGGACCCCTCCAAGCTGTTCAGAGCTGCTCTCCTGCTGTAGTGCACGGCAGATCTGCTACCACATTGTCACCAGCGTGTTGTCAAGTGATTGTCCAGTGATAACCTGTTTTCTCCCTGTTTATTATTTATTTTATTCATTTTGAGACAAGGTTCCACTCTGTAGACCCAGCTGGCCTTAGACTCACAGAGATCTCTCTGCCTCTGCCTCCCTAATGCCAGATCAAAGGCGTGTGCCACTGTGCTGGACTATTATTATAGTCTTCCTGGTATTTTGTTTTATGATTTACCTTTTCAAAGTCAGCTGAGAGCACTGTCATCTTGTGGGGTCCCCAGAGGGGCTCTTTGTGTTCTAAGGGCCACTAATCCTTGTTGAAGACATTGCAAATCTAATTTCTCCCTGGGAGTCAGGGTACTCCCGCTCCGTGGGCGGTGAGGATGCTCCCGCTCTGCGGATGGTGAGGGTGCTCCCACTCCGCTCCGCGGACAGTGAGGAGTCCTGACTGCTTCACTCTTTCCCTTCATTCCCGCTTCCAGATTTCCCAGGTGTCCAGAGCAGCCCAGATGGCAGTCCCCACCCCACGGACTCTTCACCTGGCCAAGCCCAGGCCCCCGGCCACCCTGTTGGAAGAGTGGGACCCTATGCCGAAGCCCAAGGCTCATGTGTCAGACTACAACCGCCTCCTTCAGCTGGCAAGTGAGTGGATGCCCTCCTGGATGTGGGGTGGGTGAGGAGACAGGATTGAGGCCTGTCTTTGCTAGAGTGTGTGCCTTCCTTATGCTTCATCTCCCTCGACTACAGACTGGCTGTCTGAAACCTGGAAACTATCAGAGAAAGTGGGTGCAGGACACGAAACTGAGGGCAGGCACCGGGCAGCCAGACTGTGCTGTGAGGGCTGCTTTGAAACAATTATTTGATCCCCTTCCATGTGAAAGCTGAGTAGCCATTCGCCAGTGGCAAAAGTAATGCACGCTGTTCCCCGAAAAGACAAGAGCCTAGAGAAGGAAGTGAAAATAACACCTAAGGTCACAGCTTCGTACACACTACACACACACACACACACACACACACACACACACACACACACACACAGTGCAGAGCCCGTGTGGGCAAGTTCACATGCCTCTTCCAGGCTATCCCGCCACTCTCACTGACCAGGCTGGAATCCAGTGGGTGAGCCTTTAGCACACTGGGGCCCCCGTGACTCCCACGTCCAGCACACAGCAGGCAGTAGGTTTGGGTGACCTTCGGTGGATACCTCACGTGTTGTTGGCTTCAGGACTCCCCTCCTGTGTCATCCCTGCACCCGTCCACCTCAGACAGGGACACCCCCTGCCCCCCACATAGTCTACACACTTTTAGCACACGGCGTCACTGCCTGTAAGTGACGCGTGTCTAGGTGTGTCTTCGCCATAAACTGTCCACGTGTGCGGGACCTGAGAGCCCAGAGTCACTGTGTCTGTGCTGCCCGGGCCGGTGTGGTGCCGTTTGCCCTCAGTCTTCCCCACCTCCTTCCCAGCTTTTGTCCCGGGTTTTGGTTTACGGGTATGGAGGAGCTCTTTATAAAGGATGTGACTAATCCTTTGTCAGAGGCCCTGAGGCGACTCCTTCCAATCTCCCTTGTCCTTTTAAATTTTGTCTGTGGGGTTTTCTGTTTGTTCTCTTATTCGTTCTTGCAATACCTGAGGGTGAGCATGTGTGAGCGTGTGTGTGTGCGTGTGTGAGCGTGTGTGAGCGTATGTGAGTGTGTGAGAGTGTGTGAGTGTGTGAGTGTGTGTGAGCGGGTGTGAGCGTATGTGAGCGTGTGTGAGCATATGTGAGCGTGTGGGAGTGTGTGAGTGTGTGTGAGCGTGTGTGAGCACATGTGAGCGTGTGAGCGTGTGTGAGCAAATGTGAGTGTGTGTGAGCATATGTGAGCGTGTGTGAGCATGTGTGAGCGTGTGTGAGCATGTGTGAGCGTGTGTGAGCGTGTGTGAGCATGTGTGAGCGTGTGTGAGCATATGTGAGTGTGTGAGTGTGTGAGCGTGTGTGAGTGTGTGTGAGCATATGTGAGCGTGTGTGTGAGCATTTGTGAACATATGTGAGCGTGTGTGAGCATATGTGAGCGTGTGTGAGCGTGTGTAAGCATATGTGAGCGTGTGTGAGCATATGTGAGCATGTGTGAGTGTGTGAGTGTGTGTGAGCGTGTGTGAGCACATGTGAGCGTGTGAGCGTGTGTGAGCAAATGTGAGTGTGTGTGAGCATATGTGAGCGTGTGTGAGCATGTGTGAGCGTGTGTGAGCGTGTGTGAGCGTGTGTGAGAATGTGTGAGCGTGTGTGAGCGTGTGTGAGCATGTGTGAGCGTGTGTGAGCGTGCACGTCCTCGTGTGTGCTCCTCTCCCCCAGGCCTCACTGTGTACACTGTGGGTGAGGGCAGCTTCAGGCTTGTGGTCCAACCCGTGCCCAGCCACAGAGGATGGTGATTGGCACCTCTTGGAGCCCCGTGCTTGCCAGGCACTTGCTCTGGGGTGTGCTTGGCTGCGGGTGGGAGCACGCGCCCAGTTCTGCTTCTGCCGATCGTGTCAGAGCAGAAGAGGGGGTCCCTGCTCCACTGTCATGCTGTGCTTCACAGAGTTTAAAAGCCCAGCTGTTGGGGCACTGGCTGCTCTTCCAGAGGACCTGGGTTCGATTCCTCCCAGCACCCACACGGCAGCTCAAAAACGTCAGTAACTCCAGCGCCAGGGGAACCGACACCCTCTTCTGGCCTCTGAGGGCACCAGGCACGCATGTGGTGCACAGACGTGCATACGGACAAAAACACTCATACATATTAAACAATAAAGTCATTTTTAAAGAGAGAAAAGCTTAGGTGTCACAATGGCTGAAAGGTTCCATGCTGAGTCCCCTGCCCTGGACCACCGAGTCCCAGACGCTGGCTCATTTCTAGCCCAGGACCTTTGCTAGCAGAGCTTTGATCCAGCTGGGGGCTTCCCGGGATTTGAGGAAAGGGCTTGTGTTAGCTGCTTTTCCTCTTGCTGTGACAAAATGCCAGATGAAAGCAGGTTCAGGAAGGGCGGCTTTTGGCTCACGGCTTGAGGGGGCAGCCCCCGGGACGGTGCCGCCTCACTCAGGGTGGGCTTTCCTGGCTCTGTGAAACCTTTCTAGAAAGGTTCTCATAGACACACCCAGAGGTGTGTTTCCGTGATGATTCTCCATCACAGGTTCCGTTTCTCTCCCCAGGGCCTCTGTACAGTCGGGCTGTTGGTCCCCGGGGACCGTGTCCATCTTCACCGAGGCCCAGGCAGACAGGGGCTTGATGGAGGCTGCGGCTGCTCTGTTTTGGGAGGATGGGAGTGTGAGACAGGGCGGGGGGGCGCTGACCAGGAAGAGGCCCAGAGCCACAGGCCAGGGAGAAGCACTGTAACCCTGCACCCCACCCCAAAGGTGTAGAACACACAGACTAGGCTCTTCTCTCCACCACTACCACCAGGTCCAGGTGGAGAAGGACCCATGTTCTCCCTGGTACCTGTGGCCTCCTTTCCGAGTGCCGTGACCCATGGAAACATCTCCACAATTCACCCTCTTGAAGGATGGTTTTCAATGTTTTCACAAAGTTGTCCAGTCATCACCCATCTGGTTCCAGAACATTCTGTCACCACAAAAGAAAACCTTGTCCTCATGAGCAGTCACTTGGTCCTCTGCACCCCTGAATCCACTTCCCTTTTTGGATGTTTCCTGTCACGGACTCCTATGCTACATGTCCTTTTGTGTCTGGTCCTCTCACTGTCCTTGAGCCCCACTCCCCAATCCCTCGTGCTGTGTTGTTGCCGAGCCTCGGTCCTGTTCATGGCTGTGTAATACTCCAGTGTGTGGATGCCGTGTGCTCTGATTGACACTGTGAGCGTGGCCCACCCAGATTCTGTCACTTGTTTGCTGGTGGGCAGACCCAGGTTGGAGCTTGGCCCGAAAAGTCTGAGCCTGGCCTCGTTCCTCTCTTCTGTCCTCTAGCGCCCAAGGCCATGTCAGAAAAGTGTGTTCCTGACCGCAGTCCTCAGTGGGAGGTCCTGGAAGCCGCCAAGAGAGCAGTGGCCAGTTCACGGATCATCTCTCTGGCCCAGCCCAGAATACGCAAGGACCTCAATGAGGGCTACAACCCGTACTACATCTCCCCGGCCTCTCTGGTGGCTCAGGCATCTCCTCGCATTTATGAGCTTGCCACCCCTAAATACATCACCAAGAAAGTGTGACCGCCAGGCCTGATCTCCAGCCCGCCCCCAGTAAACACCCAAGTGCATCCTTGCCTGTGTGCATGATTCACTAAGCTCCGTGGCCTGGGTCGGGGGCGGGCAGGGACGCCAAAGGCCAGAACAATAATAACGTTATTTTTGCATTCTACCTGGGATGTGCGGCCCTTTTATTTTTCAAGTTTCTCTTTCCATCTCGAGGGCCTCTGCACCTGGGACTCAGCTCCTTGTCCCATCTTGCTCCCTAGACTTTCCCCATCCGGCTGCCTCCCACATGCCCACATGGACCTGAAGTTCAGTCCCATGGCAGGCTGGTCCTTGTGGTGACCAGATGAGAAGATGATCATCCTCTTATGGGGTTCCCGTTGAACTTGTCACAGGGTCATGGTATTTGGAGGGAGGACTGGGAGGCAGAGAGGCTGGGAGGGGAGTACTCTTGGCCGTTCTGCCATCTGAGGGTCCTTCACTGCACAAGCCGGGGCCACACAGCAGGACATGACTTCAGGAGTTGTCAGAAAGAGACTTCGGTCGATCAGTTCCTCAGACGCGGGCAGCTGGCTATGCAGTGCAGACGGACTGAGCAGGCTCTGGGCTCCCAGTGAACCACCCCCAGGGTCTGCCATCTCTCAGGTCCGTGATGAGCACCTGACATGGGTCCTGGGGTTACAGTTGGGTGGAGTTGAGGTACTTCCTTCTGGTAGATCCAGGGAGCACATACTGGTCCCCTGTCCTAGCATCTCAGGGGACCAAATTAGCTTGAGGTCCTTCCTCCTCTGGAAGGAGGTGTCTCCCGGTCTCTGTGCCAACTCTCCTTTCCTGTGAGGATCCATGCCAGTCCCCAGTTTAGGGTCCTTTATTTAATCTCAAGGAGGCTATTCTGGAGTGTGGAGCTGTGCAGGACGACTCTGTGTGTGTGTGTGTGTGTGTGTGTGGAGTTACACAAAGCCTCCTGTGGCTGGCTGTGTCACCCGCGAGTCAGCTGCCCTGTTCAGGACAGTGAGATAGGCCCTACCCGTTTGTGTGATTGCCACAGCATCGTTTCGCAGATCCTGAGCTGGGCCTGGGCGTCTGACCCTCTTGGTTATAAGTTGTCCAAAGACATGAACTTTTCTGGTAATGTAGAGACTAGGATTGAGCATTTGCTGCACAGACCTAGACCACGAATCAAAAAGCCAGCACTCCAAGTGAGAAGAAGGGGGAGTCTCTGAACAGAGCCACGTTCTTGGAGGCAAGGTCTTTCTCACACACTGGCGGCTGCCAGGCAGAAGTGTCTACGTAACAGGAGGGAGGTGGTCATCATCCAGGACACTGGGGTGGGGTCCCCACTTCTGTAACGCTTGGGTGGTGCACCCAGGAACTGGGGCAGGTGGTTGTGAGGATATCTTGTGTGGCCCGAATGAGGCTCTGCCCTTCACAGACGGTGGCCAGCTCTGCTTCGTAACAGGTTAGTGATGTCAACCATCATGCCCTTTGAGGTACAGACAGACAGTGTATGGCTGATGCCTGGGGTCGTGCTCCCCCTTCACAGATGCCACGGGGCTCCTGAACTGGGTGATATCTAATCGCACAGGTGGGCCCCAGCAGACTGCAGGACGGAGGCAGAGGGGCTCTCACAAATGAAACAATGTCCATCTGGGGGTCAGAAACAGTTCCCACCCCCCACCCCCCGCCAATTAAATAACTAAAAGACAGGAAAAACGTGTCCCAGGAAATCTCGGGGAGTCCCACTAGAGCCGTCATATGACACGTGGGAAATTGGGGTCCCCTCTTTGGGGTTCTCGGTCTCATTAACAAAAGAATTTAAGAGTGGCCATAAATGGAGGACGATTGATTAGAGTTTCAAAGGCAAACTCCAGGGCAGGCAAGCTGGACAAGTTATAGCAGCCTGGAAGCGGCAGCGTGTGTGTGTGTGTGTGTGTGTGTGTGTGTGTGTGTGTGTGTGTGTGTGTGGTGGTGGTGGAGTGGGGGTGGGAATGGGGTGGGGGTGGGGGGCGGGGTGGGGTGGGGGCGGGGAAATGGAGGAGAGAAGGAACAAAGACCACACCGCCTGAGATAAGTCAGAGATGCGTGGCGGTCAGTCACCTGGCAGAGAGGGTGGGAGGGAAGCCAGACAAAGGAGGACGAAGTTCAAAGCTTTAGTGGGGGAGTTTAAAAGCACGCTGAGGCTCTGGGCCAGCATCTGGAAGAAAAAGACATTGGAGGAAAAGGAAATAGTTCCTCCGGAGTCGGGCCTCAGACCAGCCTCATGGTGGCTCCCTGAACCAGGGGCAGGGAATTTTGAGAGGAAAAAAGTGTTATCTCAAGGTGAACCCGCCCCCCGAGGGGTGGTTCCCTGGCGGGGTCCCCGGCAAGCCCCACCGTCTCTACCTAGAGGTAGATGCCATTCCTTCCAGGGACCGTCACCAAAGCAGATGCCATCCATCACAACACAGCGGAGGGACCGAGGAAGGAGGAGAGTGACCCTGTGCCTGCTCAGGAACGTTCTCAGGAAACCAGCAGGGGTCTCACTCTGGACCAGACCTTACTGTTTAGTCCAGGCTGACCTTGAACTCAAGGTGACCTTTCTGTCTTAGTCTCCAGAGTGGCCTGATGTGCGTGACCACCATGTGCAGCACGTGCCTCCGCTATAGCCTTGGGAGTGGTGAGTTTTGACACAGCAACAGGTGAACAGGACTAGAAAGTGCTCGACTGAGTCAGTGGGTGGCGGGGGAGGGGCGCTGGGGGGCGGGCTGTGGGGGGGGGGGGGCTCAGGCGATGTCCCTTCCCAGAGGCTGAGCTGTGGTTCTCAATGCCTGCAGTGCTAAAAACCGATCGAAGTGGTGGTGCATGACTTCAATCCCAGCCCTCGGGAGGCAGAGGCAGGCGGGTCTCTGTGAGTTCGAGGTCAGTCTGGGCTACACAAGATGACCCAGTATGACTCTTCTTGGGGGGCAGGTAACAAAGTAAAGCAAGACACATTGTTGGGATCAATGGACACCTCAAATTCTGTGTGCCCTGCTGTCCAAAGCCACCTCACATTTCGGTGTTCTTACTCAGGTCGGGGACTCCAGAAGCCACATGTATCCCCGGACTTGGCCTTTCTGGGATGTCACGGCTCTTTCAGCACAGACTTGTGCGTCTCCACTGTGGGTGGTGTGGAGTGACCCGGTTGTATATAGATTTGCTTTCTTCTTCGGTTTGTACTGGAGAACATAATTCTGCATTTGTTGATAACTGAGCACTCTCTCCTCTTCCCCCTTCTCTTTATTCCATTCCCCTCCTTGGTCTCTCTGTTTCTATTTCCCCCATCTCTCCATCGTCCCCTGTGTCTCTCTCTCCATCTTTCTCCCCCTTCTCTATCAATGCTGCTTTGGAGTGCCATTTGAGATGATTAATTTTAAAAAGTTTTATTTTGAGACAGGGTTTCTCTGTGTGGCCTTGGCTGGCCTGGAACTCACTGAGATCCACATGCTTGCGTCTCCTGAGCATTAGGATTGAAGGTGTGCACCACCACGTTGTGCCAATAGGTTTAAAAGCTGCAAAGCCATATTATCTATAACATAACACCCCCCCTCCCCGTCCTCTGAGAAAACTGTGGGGACACACACAGTTGCTCTCCGGGACTTTACGGTCAGTCATGAAGAGGTGGTAGGCAGAAGGACCCACAGCACAGTACCAGGCACTGGTGTGGGGGCTGGTGGCAGGCACTCGCACATTGATAGGGGACTTGAGGAAGAGGGGGTGCAGGGCTGAGTGGGGAACTGCAGAGCTGGACCCTCAGAAGTTGGAGCTGGCTGTGGTGGCTGCGGAGCAGCTGCCAGCGTGGCCAGCATAGAGGACACCAAAGGCCAGTAGCACAGTCTGTCATGAGCGGCGTTCTTACCACGGGCAGGGGTTGGGGTGGGAGTGGGGAGTCAGGGTCACATAAACCCCCAGCAGTGGTCACCTCAGAGAGCCCACACCGCTTCAGAACTGAGACACTGAAGAGCACAATCCGTATAAAGATACCACAGATGAAATGAAATTGTAAAACAAAGAACGGCAAACACACCACAATCTTGAAAAGATTTATTTTTATTTTTAAAAGATATACTTAGCCGGGCGGTGGTGGTGCACGTCTTTGATCCCAGCACTCGAGAGGCAGAGGCAGGTGGATCTCTGTGAGTTCAAGGCCAGCCTGGTCTACGAAGTCAGCTAGGGCTACACAGTTAGACTCTGTCTTGAAAACAAACAAATGAAAAACAGACAAAGAGCAGCCAGTGCTCACAACCACTGAACTATTCCTGCAGCTCCACAGCAATTTAAATAAATCAAGAAAAGAGTTGCCTGGACTTGTAAAGTCACAAACGGGACACAGGAATGCACAGCTGTGGGAGACAATGAAATGTGAGGTCAGAGCAGAGGCTGCATGAAGGTGGAGGCCGCAGTGGGAAGTAGCTGTAAGGAGACCAGACAGCGCTGAAGCCAGCAAGGGCGCAGGGGACAGGACTCGGGAGAACCAGCTAAATAAAGAGAAATAAAGTCATCCCAACGGGTCAGGAAGATCACAGTGGACTGGACAAGAACAAGGAGATGCCACATCCATAAAAATGACACCCTCAGAGGACACAGATGAAATAATGGAATGAGAAATACTTAAATTTATAATTTAAGAAAACTGCTTGGAACCCGAACATGGCAGCTTATCCCGACAGTCCTAGTTCTCAGGGGCCGTAGCAGGAGGATTGAAAGCTCAAGGCTAGTCTGGATAACTTGGCAAGATCCAGTTTCAAAAGAAGTAAAAAGACAGCTGGGAGCATAGTTCAGGGGTAGAGCTGTTGGAGGCTCTACAGGTGAGAGGTGGGGGCGTGGTCAGGGTGGAGCCCCGCCTAGAATCTCCCAGTGAGGGTCTGGGGGCGTGGTCAGGGTGGAGCCCCGCCTAGAATCCTCCTGTGAAGGGCTGGGGGCGTGGTCAGGGTGGAGCCCCACCCAGAATCCCCCAGTGAGGGTCTGGGGGCGTGGTCAGGGTAGAGCCCCGCCTAGAATCCCCAGAGAGGGGCTGGGGGCGTGGTCAGGGTAGAGCCCCTCCTAGAATCCCCAGTGAGGGGCTGGGGGTGTGGTCGGGGTGGAGCCCCGCCTAGAATCCCCCAGTGAGGGGCTGTGGGCGTGGTCATGGTGGAAACCCGCCCAGAATCCCGCAGGGAGGGGCTAGGTATTTGGTTCAGAGTTGAGAGCTGGTGTAGGATGTGCCAAACTCTGGTAATCCCCAGTAAAATTGGAGTCCTGCATCACATCTGGTTTGCTAACACTGTCTTAAGAACGGAGTCCATACACATAATGAAGTAGTCAGTGTCTACAACAATCTTGTCCAGGGTCACAGGAGTGGCCAGGGGTGGCCATAAGGCATGTAAAACGCAGATGACTAGAGCTGACATGTTCTGTAAGTGCAAATATACAGCAGTGTAGAGAGTACCAAGCCAAGAATGCAAATATCCCAAGAGATGGAGCTCAGTGGTGGGGCGCTCACCTACCATGCAAAGCCCGGTTCTGCTCTCCAGCACTGCAAAGACTTTCATTAATGATTTTATATTGATCGCATGTTAGAAAGATAACAAAGATATGCTGCACAAAATAAATGTATCATAAAACTTTACATTTGTCTTTCCTTTGAAGTGTACTCAGTGGGAGATCTTAAGTTGGTTGACCCCTCCCTCTCTCCCTCTCTCCCTCTCTCCCCTCTCTCTCTCTCTCTCTCTCTCTCTCTCTCTCTCTCTCTATATATATATATATATATATATATATATATCTCCCCATTGGACGGTGCTGGTCTGAACAGAGTGAAGTCCAATCACATGAATGTAATTATAGAGGTCATTGCTAGAGCAAAATCACAAACCCCACAAATTATCAGGGATGTACCAAGAGGTGGTGGCGCACACCTTTAATCTCAGCACTCGGGAGGCAGAGGCAGGCAGATCTCTGAGTTCAAGGCCAGCCTGGTGTATAGAGTGAATTCCAGGACAACCAGGGCTACACAGAGAAACCCTGTCTTGGGGGGAAAAAAAACAAAAACCAATTATCAGGAATGTGAGTACAAAAGATGCAGAGGTCATGTGACCATCGGGAGGAGTGTCCCTTGAAGCCAAGTGCTTACCCTAGTTCTTTCCTTGTCTGGTTTTTGAGACATAGAGTCTCTCTACATAGTCCTGGCTGTCCTGGAACTCTGTAGTCCAGGCTGGTCTCATACTCATAGAGATCCTCCTGCCTCTGCCTCCCGAGTGCTGGGATTAACGGTGTATGCCACCATGTCTGGCCTCACTCCAGTTTTGGAAACAGGTTTGCCCCAGAAGGCAGCTCTCTGTGTCACACTTTCACTGGGGCAGCCTGAAATGCTGGTAGGTCACTAAGGGCTCTGCAGGGTTTACCGATGGAGCCAAGGTCTCTGTCCACGGCATGGTGGTTCCCTCACATTACCGCCTCCACTTCCAGGGGTGTCCTCTCTCCAACATGAGTCTCTGTGTTTGCTTCTGTCTTCATCAGGGTTTCTATTGCTGTGGTGAAACACCATGACCAGAAGCAAGTTGGGGAGGAAAGGGTTTATTTGGCTTACACTTCCATATTACAGTTCATTACTGAATGAAGTCAGGATGGGAACTCAAGCAGGGCAGGAACCTGGAGGCAGGAGCTGATGCAGAGAGGACGGAGGAATGCTGCTTAGTGGCTTGCTCCTAAGTCATGGCTTGCTCAGTCTTTTTTCTTATAGAGCCCAGGACCACCACCCACAATGGGCTGGATCCTTCCCCATCAATCACTAATTAAGAAAATGCCCTACAGGATTGTCTACAGCCTGATCTTTTGGAGGCATTTTCTCAACTGCGGTTCCCTCTTCTCAGATAAATCTACCTTGTGTCAAACTGACGTAAGAACTATCCAAAGCAGCTTCCTAGAGAGTACAACCTGCAAAAGGATAGAGAGAAGGCTGACTTCCCAAATGCCAGCTTCTGGTGACCAGGCTGGGTCTGGCAGTGACTAGGTACAGATGCCTAGGACCTACTGGGAGACAGCAGGACATTGTGCTGGTGATGGCGTCCCTGTTCCAGTGGGAGAATACTGCAGATGCACGGGCTGCTCCTGGGTAACAGCACACAGTAGGGCTGTCCTGCCATCCATTCTCAGAGCAGCTTTGACAGCTCCACACAGGACAAGGTACCATCTTGTTTTGGGGCATCTTTCCCATTACAACTGCTTCTTGTGACTCAAATGATGGTGTCCCTTCCAAAATTCATTCCTAATGTGACATTATTAAGAAGGTGATTGAGTCAGGAGGCGGAGCCCTGACGGGAATTAGCACCTTATAAGAGGGTTTGAGGTTGAGAAGGTGGGGGGCTGTTCGCTTGCCTCTCTACCCTTCCACCATGTCAAGACACAACATATGTCCCTTCTGGAGGACCCAGTAGCAACACAGTCTTGGAAGTAAGTGTGGTCCTTTAGCAGATGCTGAACCTGACCCAGCACTCACCACTGGCTAGGCTGGCCAGCCAGTGGGTTTTGGGACCCACCTGTCTCCACACCCCCAGAGCTAGCTACAGACACGTGGATCTGGCTCCTATACAGTGCCAGGGATTTGAACTCAGCTCTTCACACTTTGCGGCAGGCGCTTTACTGAACCTTCTCCCCTACTCTGGGAATACATTTCCGTGGAAGCGGGTTTGAGACTGGATCCTCCTGACTTGAGCCCTCCAAGTGCTAGGATTAACACAAGGGGCAATGTGCCAGTTTTTATTTATTTATTTATTTTTGAGACAAGGTTTCTCTGTGCAGCCCTGGCTGTCCTGGAACTTGATCTGTAGACCAGGCTGGCCTTGAACTCAGAGATCTGTCTGCCTCTGCCTCTCAAGTGCTGGGAGTAAAGAACGCCACCACTGCCCAGTTCAACATGCCAGATTTAGTTTATGTCCTTTATAACCCATTTGTAGCATTATCATTATCAAGATGTTTCTTGTGTGGTGGTTGTTTGAACATTTGGTCCCCAGCTTGTGGAACTGTTTGGAAAGGACTAGAAGGTGTGGCCTTGTTGGAGGAGGTGTGTCACTAGTTTTGAGGTTTCCAACACCCACACTATTTCCAGTCTCTCTCTCTCTCTCTCTCTCTCTCTCTCTCTCTCTCTCTCTCTCTCTGCCTTGGGCTTGTGGTTCAGATGTAAGTTCTCAGTTACTGCTCCAGCACCTTGCCTGCTTGCCCGTCGCCTCCCTGCCCACGATGGTCATGGACTCACCCTCTGAACTGTAAGCTCCAATTTAAACACTTTTTTTTCTGCAAGTTTCCATGGTCATGCTGTTTTGTCATGGCGATTTAAAAGTAACTAAGACGTCCTGCTACACCACCACATTGTCCTTGAACTCTTGGGCTCAAGTGATCCTCCTGCCTCTGGCTCCCGAGCAGCAAAGATATGCACATCTTCCATCTTGGCTGTGATATTCTTTTGGAGCAGTCTTGACACATCAAGGTAGTCCTTCAGTCCATTATTTAAAATCTTTGAGAATATGATTCAAGCCATATTTTGACATAATGGGCTTTGAGACATCATGGGCAGGAAGACACTGAGGTCACCATTGGGGTTCGCCTGGGTGTTGTGGAATGCTGTCCTTCTTCTGAGCTTAAAGCCATCACCACCTTCATCAAGGCAGTCATGATTACTTGTCCTGTCGATGCTCCCTCACAGAAGGGGCTGAGGACGGTCATTAGCCCTCGACTGAGATACCTTTCCTTCCTACACCACCCTCCCAGTGGAGTGCGATCCAGTCTGCCTCAGGAGATGACAGAGTTCACAGAGTGTGGAGGGATGTCTGAAAGGAGAACCCCAATCTACACAGCTATGGGGACATTATCATCCATTCCTGGGTGAGACATGTTGGTGGTCCAGCTGCTTTGGGGTCGTGCACAACTCTCTGTAAATCCAATAAACTTACTGGCTTGCCAAGTTCAGTCTGTTGTAGGAACCCTAAGGGTGAACAGATGCTTGTTGGCTACTAGGAAAGTTCACATGGTAAGGGCCCCCCCCCCCCCCCCCCCGAGGGTGAAGGGGGCGGGGCTTCGTGGAAGGAGCCTCAGTGACAAAGCCTCTGGAGTTACAGATGGTTGGGAACCGCCATGTGTGTGCTGGGAACCAACCCTGTGTCCTCTGCATCTCTCCATCCTGTTTTATTCAGATTTATTTTTAATTTTCTGTGTATGTGTTTTCTGTGTACATTCAAACACATGTACCACATTCATGCAGGTACCCTTGAAAGCCAGAAGGCGACATTGGATTCCCTGGATCTGGAGTTACAGGTAGCTGTGAGCTGCTATGTGGGTACTAGGGACAGAACTTGGGTCCTCTGTAAGAGTGGCCAGAGCTCTTAAGTGGCAAGGGGCTGCTGAGCTGCTCCCCAGCCCCTTTGGGTAATGTTTCAGTCTATATCCCATGGTGAAGTCACTCTGTAGCCCAGACTGGCCTTGATCTTACAGTAACCTCCTGCCTCAGCCTAGTCAATGGTGGGATTACAGGTCTGAGCTACCACACCTGGCTTCACTGTGAATTTTCAAACAAGAATATTCTCTTGCAGATCCCTAAGGTAGCAATTTCGGGAAACTCAGCACTGACCCAAATCTTTACATCTGGTTCAATCAATCAAGCCTTAGAATCCTCTGTGGCATTTCCCTTCCCTTATGGGTCATTCAGTATCAAGTACTGCATGTTGTTGACGGAACTGGAAGACTTCTACAGCTCTCCCTCTCCTGCTTTGGAAGTTCTGAAGAATACAGTCCCTACCGTTTAACAGAATGTTCCTTTCAAGGCTTTGTCTGGAGCCCACGCCTCTGTCAACAGTTTCTGCTCTCTGGCCTGGATGAGAGATGCTGGTCTAGCATCACCTGCCTCCACTAGGGATGCTCATGTTTACCACCTGGCCAAAGGGTACCTCAGTTCTCCATGACAACCATCCAGTCCATGGGGAAGGAAGTCCCCATCTTGAAGACTTTCTCTTCATCCACTTGTCCAATTGCCTAACGTCTGGCGATCGATTAATTTAGATTTTTGTTTGTGGGTTTGTTTGTTTTGATATAGGGTGTCTCTGTGCAGCCCTGGCTGGTCTGGAACTTGCTATGTAGACCAGGCTGGCCTTGAACTCACAGAGATCTGCCTGCCTGACTCTTGAGTGCTGGGAATAAGGGCGTGCATCACTATACCCAGATTTAATTTGGTTTCTTGAGGCAGGGTCTCACTCTATAGCCCATGCTGGCCTCAAACCGATAAGAACCCTCAGGTCTCAGTGTCCCAGGCACTGGAGTTACAAGTGTGAGCCAACATGCTTGTCTTTCTCTAGTGATCCCTGTCACTAGACCAACTCAGCCTTTCTCCTCAGCCTGTTGAAGTGTCTCAAAGCCTCACTGGACTTCTGGATTCAGCATGCTGTGGGCAGCTGTATAGTACACGTGTTTAGTTGGTGGAGTGAATGAACCCACCAACTTTTTTTTTTTTTTGGCTTGTCCTGAGGGATCTTGACCACAGGGCCCAGCGGATGTGATGGTCATGAACTAAGGGGTGGAGGAGTGGGGCACCGGCTCAGGGGCAGGAGGCAGCCCTTCGGTCTTGGGGTGGCAAATCCTCAGGGGCAGGGCACAGCCTCTACCAGCATTCCAGCGGCGCCGTCACCTCCCAGCTCAGCTGCTCCTGGTCATCGGGTGACTTGTGTAGACCTGAGTGTCACCAAATGTCTCCCATTCTGTCTGTTGCCATCCTGACATCAGCAAGCCCAGGTCTGTGCACCTGTTCCTGAGGCTTCCATGTGCTCCTGCTCTCGGTACCTCCTGGCCTGCATCCCTCACCTCAGGACCACCCCCCCCCACCTCTACACCATCCCCTCTCACCTGTGGGTTGTCCCCTCTCATCTCTAGACCATCTCCCCTCACTTCAGGACTACCCCCACCCCCACACACACACCTGTGGACTGAACCCTTCATCTCTGGACTATCCCCTCTCACCTCTAGGCCATTTCCCATCGCCTCTACACCATCGCCCTCACCTCCACACCAGCCACTTCACTTTAGGACCAACCCCCTCCTCTCACTGATAGACTGGCGCCTGGCCTGTGGGACATCTTCATTTGCAGACTGTTCCTCCTCACCTGTGGACCTCTCCCTTGCAGACCGCCCCCCACCTCTGGACCATTCCCCTACACCGCTGGACTGCCGCCCTCACCTCGGTGCCATCTCCCTCACCTGTGGACAGTCCCCGCACGGTGGCTGGGCATGCACACGAGAATCAGCCGGGTTGGCTGATGCCCGGGCGGGGCACACCGGGGCTGGGGCTCCAGACCTCCGCTCCGCCCCGGCACACCTACTACGCGCCTCCTGCGGCCCGCCCCACCCCCGCCTCCCGGCGCCTCCGCCAATAAGCGCGCGGCACCGCATCCGGGGACCCGCGCGGCCGCCGCCTCCCGCGCGCACGCTCGGCCATGGCGGAGGTGAGTGAGCGGCCGGGCAGCGGCCCCTCCCACACGCTGCCCCGGGTCGACCCGGTCCGGCCCGTGCTCTCCCCACCCGAGCGCCCCGAGCCTCCCCACCGTCCCCGGGCCGGAGCGTGAGCCCCGTGGGCGCCCGCCACCCCCCCCATCTCAGCTACGGTGCGCATGCGCGGGCGGGGGGGAGGGGCGCGAGCGCGGGCGGCCGGGTGCCGGGCCGAGACCCGGGGCCGCGCGGCGGGAGGGCGCTGCGGACCGGGTGGGTGGGCGGCGCTGGCGCCCGGGACGGCGACGCGGGGACCGCGGCCCGGCGCGCCGGGGGTGAGCACGGCGCGGAGTCCGCGGCGCTCGGCGAGCGCAAAGTTTCGCGCGTGGAGTTGGTCTGGCTGCAGGAGCTAGCGAGGGCGCGGGCCTCCCCGCGAGCGCGGGGCTGCGGGGCTGAGCCCAGAGCCGACCTGCACCGCGGGGGGCGGCCGCTGGACCCCCGGACCAGCCCCCATCGAGGCGCCGCGAACCCTCCACTCCGGGACTGGAACTCAGCACGGTGCGCGAGTGGGGCCGCTTGGGTAGCAACAGGCCCGCGCGTGGGCCACAGGGCCGGGCTCCGGGGGCCCCGTTGGACCTCTCTGGCTGGTTGGTCCGGAGGTTTTCTTACGGGCTTAGTTCCTTCTTTAGGGGGCCTTTGGGGAAACTGAGTCCTAGTGAAGAAAAGGCCGATCAGCCTTCGGGACGCGGTGGCCGAGTGGGCGCTCCTGGGCCCCAGGGAGGCTGCTCTGCCTGGCTTGGGCGGTGGAGACTTCTCAGACTGCCTGTGTCCTGTCCTGGAGGGTGGGATTCTGAAGGGGTCGGCCTCAGTTTCTTCATCTCAGTGGGAACCCGGTGGTGTCTTCCCGTAGCTGAGAGGGCAGCGGAATCCTGCCGCGTCTTCTTCTCATGTGTCCATATGCGTTTAAGTCATAAAAGTGGACCCGGCCATCCAGAAGTCCTCTGTGTCAGCTGCTTGGTTAGTGTGTGTCTCAGTGGAGGGCCGACCCCAGAGCCCGCCATCTCTCTGAGCGGTGGGAGCCCTGGTGGCTTGTCCGCTCTTAGTATAAGCCACAGCTTTTCACTGTGCCTACCCTTTGCGGTCCTCATGAGACCACCTACCCCCTGGGCTCCTTTCTAGTGCTCTGAATTCCCATGGAGCTGCCTGCCCGTTGCCCCCTCTGGCCCCTGGGGCGCCCTCTGACCTCAGCTGCCCAGCCGCCGCCTTGTTTCCTTCATTCCTGTGCCTCTATCTGTTGTCCCGGTGTCCTGGGTCCATGTGGGTGGAGACAGGCTGAACCCGTCTCTCGGGATGTCCTAGCTGCCACAGTGGAGGGGTGAGGCTGGGGCACGGACTCGGGGGCCCTTGCCTGGTGTGGATGTGGGTCATCGCTCTTGCGTCTTGCCCTTTGACTCCTCAGTATTCATTTGTTCTTGGTGTTCGCTTGGCCTCTTGTGGGTTGCCATTTGTAGGTAACTGGGCTTGGAGTTAATGCTGAGGCTCCTCTCCTGTGGGGCTGTGGGCTGCCACCCATGCATGAGGCTCCCTCCCAGCATGGCCACCGCGCTTCAGAAGATGCTAGGTGGAATGCTGGGACCCGGCCTCCAAAGCTAGTTCGTACCCGTCCCTCCACAGTCTGGCTGGATCCCGGGTGTCCTGCATCTCCCTGGCCGTCTAAGAAGTCAGGGTGATGGCGTCCATGCCAACCCACTTGTAACTTCTGTTCTCAGAGGCATGGCTGGGGGACCCGCTTGCCTCTGGCCTCTTCCTTGGGGACCAGCCTCTGGTGTTTGTCTTGCTGTCACCTGGATCGTCTTAGGAAGCTGCCTACCCTACCGCTCCTCCCGCCACAGAGATCCGAGGGCCTCCGTGGCCTTTGTCTTTCCCGACGTGGGGAAATGGGGCCTTGGAACTCACCCTTTAAAGAGGCATTTAAGTGATGTGCCTGGTTTCCAGTGACCATGTCTGTGTGTATGCCTTGGTCAGTCAGTCTTGGGGACCTGGAGGGTCACCTGGAGATGAACTTGGCCCGAGTGGCTGTGTCTCCCACTGTTCTGTTCTCAGCTCCTCTCTGCCTGAGCCCCTGTTTAGGTCCGACCCCACCCAGGAGCCCTGACCGCTGACATGAGGCAGGAGGTTCTTCTCACTCTGTCTGGATAATGAGGCCGTGGGACTGTTGCTAGTCAGGGCTCCTGACCGCAGGGACGGAGGGCCAGTCCCTGGGCGTGGTTCCAAGGACACCGGGGCACCCTCCCTATGCCTTCCCATTGGCCTGTGGGTCTGGTCGTAGCCTGTGTTCCAAGAAGGTTAGGACGCCTCGCCTCACCACACCAGGTACAAAGATGCCTGACAGCCTGCCTGAGTGCTGTCTTCCTTCCCGGCGCCAGCCCCTGCGGCCGTCCCAGGTGGGCCCCTCGTCCTCCTCTGCTCTAGCTTTCTGTGCCCTCGGCCCCTCAAGGGGAGGCCCCCTCAAAAGCTGGTTGGGCTGTGGTCACTCCTGAACTGGAACCTTGGGGCTTCCTGGCGCATCTTCTCAGGAGGATGCAGCCCTGCGCCTCCTACCACCCCCTTGCATGTCAGGGTGCAGTACTGCCTTTGCGCTCCACAGTGGTGGGGCCTGGCTGAGGGGCGGGGCCCGGCTGAGGGGCGGGGCCCGGCTGAGGGGCGGGGCCTGCTGGAGGCGGGGCCCGGCTGGGGGGCTTTTGGAGTCTTGCTTGGTGTTGCTTGAGTAAGTAGCTTGACTGCTCTGGACTGGAGTTTCCTGGTTTCTCTTCTGGGGCGGATGAGTGCTTCACCTCTGAGGTTCTCTGAGAACCTAGTACCACAGTGTTTTAAGTTTCAAACTTTCTTTTTTTTGTTTTTGTTTTTTCTTTTTTTTTTTCTTTTTTTGTTTGTTTTTTTTTGAGACAGGGTTTCTCTGTGTAGCTTTGCGTCTTTCCTGGATCTCACTCTGTAGCCCAGGCTGGCCTCAAACTCACAGAGATCCGCCTGCCTCTGCCTCCCGAGTGCTGGGATTAAAGGCGTGTGCCACCATTGCCCGGCTTCAAACTTTCTTTATCATTCTAACTTTTGGAAGGGAAAAAAGATATATCTTTATTTCTTGTGTATGCGTATTTTGCCAGAAGAGGGCGCAGGATCTGGAACTGGAGGTACATGGTTGTGAGCTGCCGTGTGCTGGGAATTGTACCCCAGTGCTCTTAGCCACTGAGCCACAGGGCAGTGCTCTCCTGCCCCACATTATTATTATTGTTTTTTGGCAACAGCTTTGCTGAGGTGCACCCTGTCTGTTTCCCTTTTACTGTGTACAGTTCGGTGGCTTTTGGTATTTTTAGAGTTGTGTAACTGCCAACACAGTCAATTTGAGAGCATTCTGTCACCTCTGAAGGAAGCCCTGTTCCCAGAGCAGTCACTCTGTCCCCTTCCCAGCGCTCAGCCAGTACAAACCCCTTCCTGTCTCTGGATTCACCCCTGGTGGACATTTTCCATCATGGTGCCCCCTACACTGTATGGCCTTTTCTTCGTAGTGCTTGTAAGGTCCCCCCTTGTTTTGGTGGCGTGTGTGGGATCCTCGCTCTTGTTCGTGGCTGTGTGGTACTCTGCCGAGTTCTTTTGGTTCCTCTGTTGTTCAGCGGGTAGACATGTTCCTCCCACTTGTGATGGAGGTGAATGGTTCTCCGGTGTAGTTTCCTTTCTCCTGGAGCAGAGGTGCCGGTCTCACGGTGGTGTGACTTTGGGGATGCCTCCAAGCCGTTCTGGTGCTGCACGGCCTCTGATGCGCTTCCGCATTCTGGGCTTACTCACTGAGTGTGCGCTCTGTTCTGAAAGGTGCTTTGCTGGTGTTTCCTCCCCATCCTGTGAGTCCCGGCACATGAGTGCCAGTCTCATGTGTTCAGTTGTGTGTATTACACATGTGTGTCCAGGCCATCGAGGAGTTTGTCTCTGAGGTCCCAGTTGTGTGCCTCTGACCCGAGTCTGTCTGTGGGCCCACACCACCATGCTGAGATGTTTATGACTCTTTAGTCATTTCTGAAACTGGGAGTATCTCATTGCGGGATGGTTGTGGCTCTTCTGGGTCCACGTGTGCTGTTTGGAATTGGCTCGTCAGTTCTACAGTTCAGGTGGTGTGGGCTGTCTAGGTCACTTCAGAGGGTCTCCGTCTTCCAGTGTGGGGACCTTGGCCAGGAACATGGTTATCCTTTCTTACCAGTCGCTTCTCTGTCGACATGGCCGTGTTCTCAGGGAGCATGTGCTGTATACGTCCCGGCTGCGTGAGTGGGGTTGTTTCCTTAACTTAGGGGAGTGTCCATTGCTGGAGAGTGGGACCAAGATGGCGTTTAGCCCTTCCGAACTACCTCAGTGTCACCAGCTGGAGGAGGTGTCCGTCCTCTGTCCCACTTCATCCTTGCAGTGACACTGGGGTCTTGGCCGGTGTTGATGGATTGGGGACGTGCCTTGGCCCTCAGAGTGCAGCCCTGACACTGGAGTCACGTCTTCTCAGTGCAGTGGGCCGCACAGCTCCGCTTTCACTTCTAGACCGGTGCTCTCCCCAGCCACGGGAGGACGGGCCGCTAGAGTCCAGTTCCACCCTGCTTCGTCAGGGGTGTTACAAGTGTATCCTTCTGTGTCTGTATCTGCCACAAGCCCCGTGTCTTCAAGGTCCCTCCACACTGGAGCTGTGATTGGACGTCCCCGGGCTGCTTCCCCCGCAGTCCTCAGGGTTACTCAGTAGCGACGACGTGAGGTCTGCTGGTGGGTTCTGGCTCCCGAGCCAGCGCCACCTTCCTGTCTTTGCAGGCCTCCTCACTGGAGAGGCAGAGTCCTCGAGTGGCCTCCTGCCTTGCGCATAGCCTGTGCCCTCG